TAGAAATCTATTGGGGTAACCCGCGTGAGTTCAAATCTCACAGCTGTCGGACCCATTTTATGTGATTCAACCCGAGTCCATCTCGCCTCGTTGTGGCCTTCCCGCGCCTTCCTGTGACGCCACGCACCCAGCCACCACGTCTGCTCATCACACGCGACTCGACAGCACAATGGATACTTGTACACGCCCGCCATAGATTGCGCTACAACCATCGTTCCCACACGCCCGTCCGCTTCGTAAGCGACCATTTCTCAACGGATGATTTCCAAACCCCGCCAGGCTCGAAACCAACTGCGCTGTCCGCAGGTAGGTCAGGCAATGGGACTGACCGCTGCTGGCACGGCACAGCAGGCACGATCGTGGCAGTGTGCCTCGAGGTGTTGGGCTGGGCCAAAAGGCCGGCGACACAGTGTGGTTTGGGCACATGATGCCATGATGCCGAAGCAACCCGTGCGCAGAAAGAGATGACCCGTTTGGCTCCTCGATAGGTAGGTGGCGTGTACACTACCGCCGCGACCGGCTGATTGCGAGGAGGATCCAACCGAGCGCTGCTGAGTACCGTAGATGGAGGGGTCAAGTCGCGAGATGTTTTGGGTCCTGCGATCGTCTTGAAGCATGCGTGGTGGTCTGTGGGCGATGCGAGTGCGATATGGTGTCCAGTCGACGCTGGAAGTTGGCGGTATAGGTCGTTTTGTGCGTGCGTGCGGCGTGATAATTGTGTGATAAAATGGGACGGTTTGAGGGTTGTGTGATCGTTCGAGTGTCGGTGTCGTCTAGTGGTTAGGACGTGAGCTTAACACGCTCAAGATCGAGGGTTCGATCCCCTCCTCCGATATCTTATTGCCTTTTCTTTACAACCGCTCGTTCGTGGCCCCTGGGCCAGCAGCGCATGCTGTAACCATAGCTCAGTGCGCAGCACATCCGTGTCCAAGCCGCTAGTAGCTTCTATAGCGAACGAGCCACGTGCAGCCCCGGAGACATCGCGATACGAGTATCGCGGTCGGTGAGAGAGGTGAGTGGTGGTTGTTGCGTGTGTAGGTAGGCGCTGACAGCGACGGTAAGGGTAGGCAATGGTAGGCAGGAGGTTGTGGTGCGGTTAGCATGGATGTGCGTTGGCGTACGTGTGTTTGCGGTGAATGTGGTGAGGGTTTGGATTTGTGTCGAATTTTAACGACAGCTTGGCCGAGTGGTTAAGGCGATAGACTAGAAATCTATTGGGGTAACCCGCGTGAGTTCAAATCTCACAGCTGTCGGACCCATTTTATGTGATTCAACCCGAGTCCATCTCGCCTCGTTGTGGCCTTCCCGCGCCTTCCTGTGACGCCACGCACCCAGCCACCACGTCTGCTCATCACACGCGACTCGACAGCACAATGGATACTTGTACACGCCCGCCATAGATTGCGCTACAACCATCGTTCCCACACGCCCGTCCGCTTCGTAAGCGACCATTTCTCAACGGATGATTTCCAAACCCCGCCAGGCTCGAAACCAACTGCGCTGTCCGCAGGTAGGTCAGGCAATGGGACTGACCGCTGCTGGCACGGCACAGCAGGCACGATCGTGGCAGTGTGCCTCGAGGTATTGGGCTGGGCCAAAAGGCCGGCGACACAGTGTGGTTTGGGCACATGATGCCATGATGCCGAAGCAACCCGTGCGCAGAAAGAGATGACCCGTTTGGCTCCTCGATAGGTAGGTGGCGTGTACACTACCGCCGCGACCGGCTGATTGCGAGGAGGATCCAACCGAGCGCTGCTGAGTACCGTAGATGGAGGGGTCAAGTCGCGAGATGTTTTGGGTCCTGCGATCGTCTTGAAGCATGCGTGGTGGTCTGTGGGCGATGCGAGTGCGATATGGTGTCCAGTCGACGCTGGAAGTTGGCGGTATAGGTCGTTTTGTGCGTGCGTGCGGCGTGATAATTGTGTGATAAAATGGGACGGTTTGAGGGTTGTGTGATCGTTCGAGTGTCGGTGTCGTCTAGTGGTTAGGACGTGAGCTTAACACGCTCAAGATCGAGGGTTCGATCCCCTCCTCCGATATCTTATTGCCTTTTTCTTTACAACCGCTCGTTCGTGGCCCCTGGACCAGCAGCGCATGCTGTAACCATAGCTCAGTGCGCAGCACATCCGTGTCCAAGCCGCTAGTAGCTTCTATAGCGAACGAGCCACGTGCAGCCCCGGAGACATCGCGATACGAGTATCGCGGTCGGTGAGAGAGGTGAGTGGTGGTTGTTGCGTGTGTAGGTAGGCGCTGACAGCGACGGTAAGGGTAGGCAGTGGTAGGCAGGAGGTTGTGGTGCGGTTAGCATGGATGTGCGTTGGCGTACGTGTGTTTGTGGTGAATGTGGTGAGGGTTTGGATTTGTGTCGAATTTTAACGACAGCTTGGCCGAGTGGTTAAGGCGATAGACTAGAAATCTATTGGGGTAACCCGCGTGAGTTCAAATCTCACAGCTGTCGGACCCATTTTATGTGATTCAACCCGAGTCCATCTCGCCTCGTTGTGGCCTTCCCGCGCCTTCCTGTGACGCCACGCACCCTCTGCTCATCACACGCGACTCGACAGCACAATGGATACTTGTACACGCCCGCCATAGATTGCGCTACAACCATCGTTCCCACACGCCCGTCCGCTTCGTAAGCGACCATTTCTCAACGGATGATTTCCAAACCCCGCCAGGCTCGAAACCAACTGCGCTGTCCGCAGGTAGGTCAGGCAATGGGACTGACCGCTGCTGGCACGGCACAGCAGGCACGATCGTGGCAGTGTGCCTCGAGGTGTTGGGCTGGGCCAAAAGGCCGGCGACACAGTGTGGTTTGGGCACATGATGCCATGATGCCGAAGCAACCCGTGCGCAGAAAGAGATGACCCGTTTGGCTCCTCGATAGGTAGGTGGCGTGTACACTACCGCCGCGACCGGCTGATTGCGAGGAGGATCCAACCGAGCGCTGCTGAGTACCGTAGATGGAGGGGTCAAGTCGCGAGATGTTTTGGGTCCTGCGATCGTCTTGAAGCATGCGTGGTGGTCTGTGGGCGATGCGAGTGCGATATGGTGTCCAGTCGACGCTGGAAGTTGGCGGTATAGGTCGTTTTGTGCGTGATAATTGTGTGATAAAATGGGACGGTTTGAGGGTTGTGTGATCGTTCGAGTGTCGGTGTCGTCTAGTGGTTAGGACGTGAGCTTAACACGCTCAAGATCGAGGGTTCGATCCCCTCCTCCGATATCTTATTGCCTTTTTCTTTACAACCGCTCGTTCGTGGCCCCTGGACCAGCAGCGCATGCTGTAACCATAGCTCAGTGCGCAGCACATCCGTGTCCAAGCCGCTAGTAGCTTCTATAGCGAACGAGCCACGTGCAGCCCCGGAGACATCGCGATACGAGTATCGCGGTCGGTGAGAGAGGTGAGTGGTGGTTGTTGCGTGTGTAGGTAGGCGCTGACAGCGACGGTAAGGGTAGGCAATGGTAGGCAGGAGGTTGTGGTGCGGTTAGCATGGATGTGCGTTGGCGTACGTGTGTTTGCGGTGAATGTGGTGAGGGTTTGGATTTGTGTCGAATTTTAACGACAGCTTGGCCGAGTGGTTAAGGCGATAGACTAGAAATCTATTGGGGTAACCCGCGTGAGTTCAAATCTCACAGCTGTCGGACCCATTTTATGTGATTCAACCCGAGTCCATCTCGCCTCGTTGTGGCCTTCCCGCGCCTTCCTGTGACGCCACGCACCCAGCCACCACGTCTGCTCATCACACGCGACTCGACAGCACAATGGATACTTGTACACGCCCGCCATAGATTGCGCTACAACCATCGTTCCCACACGCCCGTCCGCTTCGTAAGCGACCATTTCTCAACGGATGATTTCCAAACCCCGCCAGGCTCGAAACCAACTGCGCTGTCCGCAGGTAGGTCAGGCAATGGGACTGACCGCTGCTGGCACGGCACAGCAGGCACGATCGTGGCAGTGTGCCTCGAGGTGTTGGGCTGGGCCAAAAGGCCGGCGACACAGTGTGGTTTGGGCACATGATGCCATGATGCCGAAGCAACCCGTGCGCAGAAAGAGATGACCCGTTTGGCTCCTCGATAGGTAGGTGGCGTGTACACTACCGCCGCGACCGGCTGATTGCGAGGAGGATCCAACCGAGCGCTGCTGAGTACCGTAGATGGAGGGGTCAAGTCGCGAGATGTTTTGGGTCCTGCGATCGTCTTGAAGCATGCGTGGTGGTCTGTGGGCGATGCGAGTGCGATATGGTGTCCAGTCGACGCTGGAAGTTGGCGGTATAGGTCGTTTTGTGCGTGCGTGCGGCGTGATAATTGTGTGGTAAAATGGGACGGTTTGAGGGTTGTGTGATCGTTCGAGTGTCGGTGTCGTCTAGTGGTTAGGACGTGAGCTTAACACGCTCAAGATCGAGGGTTCGATCCCCTCCTCCGATATCTTATTGCCTTTTTCTTTACAACCGCTCGTTCGTGGCCCCTGGGCCAGCAGCGCATGCTGTAACCATAGCTCAGTGCGCAGCACATCCGTGTCCAAGCCGCTAGTAGCTTCTATAGCGAACGAGCCACGTGCAGCCCCGGAGACATCGCGATACGAGTATCGCGGTCGGTGAGAGAGGTGAGTGGTGGTTGTTGCGTGTGTAGGTAGGCGCTGACAGCGACGGTAAGGGTAGGCAATGGTAGGCAGGAGGTTGTGGTGCGGTTAGCATGGATGTGCGTTGGCGTACGTGTGTTTGCGGTGAATGTGGTGAGGGTTTGGATTTGTGTCAAATTTTAACGACAGCTTGGCCGAGTGGTTAAGGCGATAGACTAGAAATCTATTGGGGTAACCCGCGTGAGTTCAAATCTCACAGCTGTCGGACCCATTTTATGTGATTCAACCCGAGTCCATCTCGCCTCGTTGTGGCCTTCCCGCGCCTTCCTGTGACGCCACGCACCCAGCCACCACGTCTGCTCATCACACGCGACTCGACAGCACAATGGATACTTGTACACGCCCGCCATAGATTGCGCTACAACCATCGTTCCCACACGCCCGTCCGCTTCGTAAGCGACCATTTCTCAACGGATGATTTCCAAACCCCGCCAGGCTCGAAACCAACTGCGCTGTCCGCAGGTAGGTCAGGCAATGGGACTGACCGCTGCTGGCACGGCACAGCAGGCACGATCGTGGCAGTGTGCCTCGAGGTGTTGGGCTGGGCCAAAAGGCCGGCGACACAGTGTGGTTTGGGCACATGATGCCATGATGCCGAAGCAACCCGTGCGCAGAAAGAGATGACCCGTTTGGCTCCTCGATAGGTAGGTGGCGTGTACACTACCGCCGCGACCGGCTGATTGCGAGGAGGATCCAACCGAGCGCTGCTGAGTACCGTAGATGGAGGGGTCAAGTCGCGGGATGTTTTGGGTCCTGCGATCGTCTTGAAGCATGCGTGGTGGTCTGTGGGCGATGCGAGTGCGATATGGTGTCCAGTCGACGCTGGAAGTTGGCGGTATAGGTCGTTTTGTGCGTGCGTGCGGCGTGATAATTGTGTGATAAAATGGCACGGTTTGAGGGTTGTGTGATCGTTCGAGTGTCGCCCTGCGGCTCGCGTGACGTTCGTGAGCATGTCATAGTCCGGCACCCGGAAAGGACCCGTGAACTTGATCGCGTTGGGCTTGATGAAACGCAGGATCGGATCGTGCTCCAGCAGCCGGATCAGCTCCACTCCAGCAAGCATATACCTCATCTCTGCCGCGGTGAACTGATTCCTCGTGTCATCGCCTCTCGCCTTGACCGGCGGTCCATCCGCTGAATCCGGCGCGCACAGCTTCTTCTTCTTCCTCCTCTTGGGCGACTTGCGCTTGGCGGCGGCCTTGGCGGTGGGTTGTTGTTGGTCGTCGGCCTTTGCAGGCTTCCGACCAGTAGGACCGCGACTTACGTCGCGGCCCTTCGCGGCTCCCTCGTCGGGAGCCGCATCGGGAACGGCAAACTGTTCTTCGTAGCCCTCCTGGTCGTCGCTGGCCCCGTGGCCTGTCGTGAAGGTTCCCTCAGAGCTCCACGACGCGACAGGTCTCTCACTGTGCTCTCTTGCGGTCGGCGACCTTCCAGCCGACCGCGCACCTGCCTCTGATGCCTCTTGGATCATTAGCCCGTCATTCGAAGTAGTACTCCCGGGTCGCAGCACCATTGTGGAGTAGCGCCCTCGCAGAAATCTCGCGAATGCGATCTCGCACAAACTCGGCGCGTCTGGATAGCGGTCGCGCCGAGCAAATTATTCCCGGTTGTTGGAGTAGCGTATCTTCGAAATACAGGCCCAAGTCTTCGCAGGCTTCGGAGTTGGGGGTTCTTGTGTTGACGCTTGTTCCTTGTCGTAGGGCGTCGAGCCTTGGGCGTGCGGCGTTATCAGGCCGGCGTTTCCTGGGGCTTGTGTGGCGTTATCGGGCCTACAGGGGGATCTTGTGCACGGCGGTTATCAGGCCAGTGCGGTCCTTCGCCTAGGCAGCGCGTTATCGGGTGCCCACCTAAACGGTATACGTTTAACGTGCCTTTGTTCCAGCACGGGTCTGTGGGGGGTGAGCACCCGAACCAGCAAACGACGGGGGGCCGCGATATCGAGGCGGCTCTACTTGCCGGCGCTTGGTGGTTCCCCTGGAACCTCGGAGAAGACAGGAGGTCTTTGTGGTTCAGAGAAATTTCGGGACTGAGTCCTTACCCTGTCCTATGCCCTAGCTACTGGCTACTCCGTACTACTGCTTGCTAAGCCTATCGTTCTGTGCCTATCCCTACTTCTGTCGTGCTTGCACTGCCGTCCTTCAACCTGATTTGCGTGGCGTAATCAAGATCTTACCTCGACGCGTTTGGTCGGCGCGTCTTGCTCGGCGGGTTTTGCTCGGCGGGGATCAAGGTCGACGCGTTTTGCAGAGACGGGGCGCTGGTCGACTCGTCGGATGATTACGCGTCGAGTTGGACTCTGTCGCTGTGTCTCGCGGCCCATCACCCGCGTCGACTTTCCATCGACCTCTGCCGCGCGTCGCCCCCATCAATCGCGTCGCGTTTCATCAACTGCGTCGAGTTCATCATCCGCATCCATCAGCATTCGTCTCGGCGCTTTCTTTCACCGACGCCGACGTGCCCGCTTCCTCGCTGGGCACTACATCACACTAACGCCGACAGAACAACATGTGTTGCTCTGGGTTTCATCCTGAAGGAGCAACGCGATGTTGCTGCTACTACCGCGGTGTCGTCCGGGACGACACCACCCACGCAAACGCTGAAGCTCAATGTGAACAACTATGTCGGAAGAGAGGGTGAACTTCTCCTCCGTTGGCTTGTCGAACTCGACACAGCCATTGCGGCTCGACGTATCGTCGAGCCGTTGTCGAAGGTTGCGTTCGCCATGTCATGTTTTGGCGGACGCGCAAGAAGTTGGGCGTATGGACGCCGACTCTCGGATCCTACGTGCTTTAGCACATACGAGAGTTTCAAGGATGAGCTCAGACGGGCGTTTGAGCCACCGCAAAACGAGTTCCGGTCGAGGGCGGAGTTCCTCGATCTGCAGCAGGGCAAGCATAATGTCCATGCTTACGCTCAGAGAGCACGGTATTTGGTCTCGAACATCGTGACCAATCTGATCGACGAGGCGACCAAGGTCGTCACGTTCATGAAGGGACTGAGAGATGGGCCTGTGAAGACCTATCTCTTCCGTGAGTACCCGAGTACTCTCAAAGCTGCAATTACTCTTGTAATGCAGGAGGAGTTTAGCCTGCGGCAGGCTAAGCTGCATGCACATGTGCCGAGGCCACAGCCACGCCCGGTAGTGAGGACGGGAGGCCCAGAGCCCATGGACCTCTCGAGTGCTGCAACTGCTGGACCCCAGCAATCGCAGAGAAACAATTTGCGATGCTACCGTTGCGGTAGAGTCGGTCACTTTGCTCGGGAGTGCACGGCCCCCGTGCACCAGCAGGGTGGCTATCGCGGCGGTGCCGGGCACCGTCGCAACCAAACAAAAAACGCTGGACGCCAGTAGGCGCGGGGCGCCCTACTGGTAATGCAGTTCTGCGTGTCGACCTTGGACACGCGACACTGAGGACTGCAGCCCCCAGTGAGGTTCATTCTCACTGCAAGAACCAAGATGACAAGCCTGACCTTGTCATCCTGAACGTGAACTCGATGAGAGTAAGCGGCTCTCTCCGTGCTTTGGTAGATTCTGGCGCGTCGAAGAACTTTGTTCGACTGCGAAGTCTATCAAGGCTTGACTTCGAGGATTTTAAAGATACCTCGAAGTATGTTGGAAGTACGACTGGCAACGGGTGCCATCGTAAAGACCGAGAAGCGCATGGTACGCGTGCGCTTCACGTATGAAGACCAAGAGTTTGTCGAGACCTTTATCGTCCTGGATCTGGACGATAAGTTTGACATCGTATTGGGCATGCCGTGGCTTGCACGGCATGATCCGGTCATCTATTGGTAGAAGCGCACTCTCGTGCGCTTCGGTCGCGACAGCGGAACAGTGAGCGATGACCCTGTTGCCGCTACGCACCCACCGACAGGTGCGCGCGACTCCCCACTCGAGACAGCGCCCAACGCCGCTGTCCCGAATCATCCTGGGGGCGCGCGAGCACGCGCGCAGGAGAAGCTAGCGTCGGTGTTGCCGCCGACAGCTAATGAAGAAAATGTGTTGACCTCTGAGGTCGACACACGCTTTTCAGCGAATCAGGAAGAGTCTCCGTCCTCATGGGGCACGGATGGCGCAGGCGAGTCACACGCCTCAGCCGTGGAGGCTGACACGAATCTGATTGGATCAGGTCTGGCCAATAATAAGAGCCAAGGTGACGTAACGCCGTCGATTCCGGGAGTCAATGGCTTGGGTGGATTTGATTCGTCGGCTCCGGGAGCCGACGCACCCTCCGTAATGGGGGTCTCCGCCAATGCTTGGCGTCGAGGTACTAAAGTCGCGACGGTTCCGAGAACCGGCGCTGCGAAAAGAAATTTCGCGTCGACTCCGGGAGTCGACGCACCCATTGTAACGAAGGGCTCCGCCAATAACAGGCGTCGAGGTGAAGATGGCGTGTCGGCTCCGGGAGCCAACGCTGCAGGCGGTGCGGACGGTTGCAAACGTCCCGCACCGGAAAAACTTGCATGCTGTCGTGCAGCCGGGCTGCACGACGAAGCGCCGGGTGACCAAGCCGGGCTTGAAGTCGCTCGCCCGCGGGATGAACCCGCCGGCGGTATTACAGAAGAACACCCGTCCACGGCTAGGCCTGGACGAGGTCAAGAACCAAGCGGAGCTAGGCTCCGCAAAGCAAGAAGACGGCGCATGCGAAGGTCGCTACAAGAAATGTCTGCCGGGCAGACGGAGGCTGAGAAGCCGGAGGTTGAGACGTTGAACGTCTTGACGCGTACCTGTGCCGGGTTCCGGTACAGGGAGATGACTCTCGCTAACCCTCCGACGCAAGCGTCGGAGTTGACTTCGCTTCCAGTCATGAGCTGGAAGCGCTTCGCGCGTGACTTGCACGATGGACGCATCGAGCAAATATGCATTCTCTCGGACGCCGAGAGAACGAAGAGCGAGAATGAAGAACTGAGGCAGTACTTCATGGAGACCACCACTGAGAGCGAGGACACTCTCAGTGCGAAGACGAAGAAGGAGCGCTCTGAAGAGCAGAGCTGGTACTCGTTGATATCGAGTCCCTACTACGAGATCTTACGGGAGTACGCGGACGTACTTCCGGAAGAGATTCCTGCGGAGCTTCCGCAGGATAAGGGCATCAAGCACGAGATTGATCTCGTGCCGGGGACGAAGTACTGTTCACGCGGCAGTGGCCACTGCCGCGAGAGCAGGTCAAGGCGATCGACGACTTCTTTGAGAGTCGCCGCAAAGCTGGACAAGTGCGGGAATCGAAGTCCCCGCACAGTGCTCCGACGTTCTGTGTCAAGAAGCCACAGGGCGGCTGGCGCATCGTTCATGCGTACAACAAGCTGAACGATGCGACGATACCGGCGCAGACACCGATACCGCGAAAAGATGTAATCATCGATTCGATGGCCGGGAGCACTATCTACAGTGCTCTTGATCTGCGCGATGGATTCTATCAGATCCTCATGCGTGAGAGCAATATCCCTCTCACGGCTGTGAGCACGCCGAGCGGCATGCTCTGGGAGTGGCTAGTGATGCCGCAGGGTCTGAAGAACGCCCCTGCGACCTTCAACAGGTGCGTGACGCACTTGTTGCGCTCGGTGCGCGACTTCGCACCGAGCTACATCGACGATGTGTTCGTCCACAGCCGAGCTGCGGACGGGATGAGCGACGTTGAGATGCACAAGGTGCATCTCCGGAAGCTGCTTGCGCATGAGCGCAAGCACAAGCTCTATGCGTACCTGAAGAAATGCATCTTCGGGGCGAGCGAGATACCCGTGCTCGGGTGTCTCGTTGGGAAGAACGGTGTCCGCCTTGACCCTGAGAAGGTCAGAGTGATCAATGAGTGGCCGACGCCGTCGAACGTCAAGGAACTGCGGCAGTTCCTTGGCTTGGCCACGTACTTGTGCAAGTACGTGAAGGACTACACGGGCATGATACGCCCGCTGTCACAGCTCCTAAAGAAGGACGCCGAGTGGATTTGGACTAGCAGGCCTTCGATTCAGTCAAGCAGGGCTTGACTGAGGCGCCGACCTTGGCGGTGGCCGACCTAGATCGCCCGTTCCACGTTGTGTGCGACGCATCCGACTTCGCAATCGGATGTGCGTTGATGCAGCACGATCACGAGGGTCGTGATCGTGTGGTCTACTACCAATCGCGTCAGCTGAAGCCAGCTGAGCGCAACTACCTGGTGCGTGACAAGGAACTCCTTGCCATGAAGTACGCACTCGCGAAGTTTAGAGTGTATCTACTCGGAAGCAAACCGTTCGTGGTCTATACGGACCACGCGTCGCTGCGGACGGCTGTGAAGTCGCCGCACATCTCGCAACGGATGGCGAGATGGCTCTCATTCTTTGCAGAGTATAACTTCCTGGTTGAGTATAAACCCGGAAGACTCAATGTGGTGGCCGACGCGCTTTCGCGTCGACCTGACTACGCCACGACTGATGCTGACGTCAATGCCATTGACGCCATGCGATCGATCACCCCAACGTCGTCACTGTTGGACGACGTGAAGGTCGCGTACGCGCACGACGCGGACGCGAAGCTCTTGCTGGCCTATGGCTCAGCGCCTTCTGACAAAGCTCGTCAGAAGCTGCCGAAGCATCTTCGTGCTCGTGCACACCGTTATCGGGTGCACGATGGGTTATTACTCTACCGTGCAGTCGACGACAACGCGGACCGCGTTGTCGTGCCCAATGACCATGACCTGCGGCTCAGGATCATGTATGAGTATCACGATGCACCGACTGCGGGGCGTCCGGGCCGTGAGAAGACATACCTTCTTCTCACGCGGGACTTCTACTAGACCCACCAGTATAAATGGGTGCGCAAGTACGTCCGTGCTTGCGAGGTTTGTCAACGTGTGAAGCCTGCGCCTTTCGCGCAGGCTCCCTTGCAGTCACTGCCGACTCCGTCGGAGTGTTGGCAGTCCATGTCTTTGGACTTCGTGTTCGGTCTTCCCCCGGACAGCCAGGGGAACACGGGCGTTGTGGTCTTTGTTGACCGCTTCAGCAAGATGGTACATCTTGCTGCGGTACCCGCTGAAGTGACTGCGAAACAGACGGCTCGTCTGTTCGTTGACATGGTGTTCAAACACCATGGCATGCCAATCGACATTGTGTCGGATCGAGACCCGCGCTTCACTGCACACCTTTGGCAAGAAGTGTTTACACTTCTTGGGAGTCAACTTTCGATGTCGACTGCGGACCATCCGCCGACGGACGGGCAGACCGAGCGCGTGAACCGCGTGCTCGTAGACGTGCTTAAGAGCTACGCTCACTCGTTCCAACACTGGCGCGAGTGCCTGCCGATGGCGGAGTTCGCCATCAACAACTCGGTGCATGCCTCGACCGGGCATACACCGTTCTACGTGAATGCCATCAGGCACCCACGCCTCCCCAGTTTACTCGGGATGGTGGCTCCTTCCTTGAGTGGGGGAGAATCTACGACTGCTGCGTTGCAGTCGTAGAATGCCGCTGACGCTTGCACAGTGTCAGCCGCAACTACGCGCAAGAAGAACAAGAAGCACGCGCCTGTGCAGGGCACAGACGCCGACAAGAGCAAGAAGAAGAAGAAGAACGGGTCTGTACAGGGCACAGACACCGCGAAGACGAACGCAGAGGCCGGGCCTACTGCTGGAAACGAGCTGAACGAGTTCAGTTCGGACGCAATTCGCTTCGTCCAGCGCAGACAAGCTGTCATTCGGTTTGTCCAAGACGCTATTGCAGCCTCTGTCGACCGACAGAAGCTGAACGCAGACAATGTTGGCAGGGGCAACACAAATGAATTTAAGAAGGGTTCATTGGTTTTGTTAGCTACTCAAAACCTACCTAAACATGCAGTTTCCGAATTCGGGGCGAGCAAGCTCGCTCCGCGCTTCATCGGGCCGTTCACGGTGTTGGCACGGCATGGCAACGCCTACACGCTACATATTCCATCTAGCATGCGTCTCCATCCCACCTTTTACGTCGGGCGGCTGAAGCCATACCGGCAGCACGAGCCACCTAGCTCGGCTGACCCAAAGCGGAAGCCCCAGCGGGGGCGAACCTCTGCTCCAGCGTGTGAACGCGCTGGTCCAAGCGCACGACGCGACCTCCCACGTCGACAGAGATGTCCGACGCGGTCTGCGAGCCCTGAGCGACTTGAGCCCTCCGGATCGCCACTTCCTGCTTCAGAGCGGCGAACTCCCGGCTCTAATGCTGCTCCACAGCAGCGACCCGCTCCTTGAGCGTCGGGCCAAGGTCAACCCCAGGTTGACCATACCCGGGGCGTGTTCCCACCGCCGCCGCCTCCGATCCGCGACGCCCGCGGCTCAACACGCTGGATTGTTGAGCGTATTGTGAACCATAGTACCCCGAAAACGAACCGGCAGCCGGTTCGTTATCGTATTCGTTGGAGAGGGTTTCCGCCCCACCAAGATACATGGGAGCCGCGGGACGTTCCGGAAATGGTGAGGGCGTACGAAGCTCACCACGCACTGCCGACGCGAAGGTAGTGCGAGCGCTGTGGTCACCTACAGCGCCCGAAGTCCCACGATCGTCGCGTTCCTCGCGTGCCAAGAACTTGGCACGGAGATCCTTGAGACTCGCAGGTACACGAATCGTCGTGTACCCGTTTAGGTCTCGGTCGCTCAAGCGCGCCGCACCCGGAAGACACAACGTGCACTGATGGCCTTCGGGCACAGCGCACGGAATACCAGCGTCCACAGAGGACCTGTGGAGCTGCTCCAGCCGCCCACGCGTCGAGAATGTCTCGAAGCGCTCACGGGCACGCTTAACCCGCTCGCGGTAAGCAGCCGGTTTCTTGTTGAAGTTCTCAACAAAAGCATTCCAACTTTGACAAAGTGCCTGCCACTCAGGCACGAGAAGAGGTCGTCTTGCTGGAGAAGTACCGGAGCTCGTGGAAGAGCCCGATGTAATAATCGCGCCTTTGATTCGTTAACGGGTCAAAGTGCTGCTCCTCCGCCACAGCATCATCGTGGATGCCGCTGCATACGCACAGTGGGATTTCATTTTGACGCACGGTGTTGCCCACACGGTCTGCGATCTCTGACGCAGACGGCATCCACGGATCGCGCGCTACTGAGGCAGCGCGCGGAGAGCTTGAAGTCGCCACATCACGTGGGGAGCTTAAAGCCACAGCAGCCGAGAGCGGAGTGTCGCTCTCGCCGCGCGAGCGCTTCGAGCTCGAAGCGTCCGAGTCGTCCCCTTCACGAAGGCGTCTCGACCCGCATGCCGGGTCGAGACTATCGCTGTCGATAGACTCCTTGCGCTTGCTAGAAGATGCCTCGCCCTCTTCCATCTCCACGTCGTTGACCACAGAGGAACCTTCGAGGACAATCTCCGGTTGAGTTGTCCCCGCCGCAGCCTTGGCAGCAAGAGCGTCACGCTTTGTTTTGTGACGATCGTGGTACTCAGGGATAGAGAGAGTCTCTATCCCGGCGGAGGTCTTCCCCTCTGCTGCAGCGTCGGTCTTCTTCGGCGAGCTCATTGCGGAATGAGCTCATGTTTTCTTTCTCCCAACGTGAAGAATTGACGAATGGTCAATTTCCTGACTGACGTGCCGTGACTCGCCGCGTCTAACCTTGAGGAGGGGGGGGGGGGGGGGTAACAGGGATACACGCACAAGTGGCTACAGTCATTTGATCTAAATGTAATATTCTAAACTGGGAATCTGCCAACGGCTCGTTGGCTGAATTCCAATACTATGCATGTCGCTCATTGACTAAAAGATGCTGCTTTCAGCCAATAGGAATCCTAAGTCTCTATGGACCACCCGTCGTGGTGATCGTAAATGTATGTAGCCTTTGGTGTGTCTACACCAAGGTCGAGAAAGTCTTTCGAACTTCTAACAGACGTCGTGTCGGAAGTCAGAAACATAAAACAAAAATAGCAGTTCTCATTTTAACCCAAAAACATTATTTGGATCGTTTATTTAGATTAATCTATACTCGGAGGTCCGAGTATAATTAATTCTAGTTTAAACTAAGCTACGCTTCCTCACACACGTGCGCACACATGTGAGCTAAAGTAGTGAGCCAAAGTAGGCCCATTACCTCGGTAACACTTTGCAAACGGCACCATTCGCTACTTCATATTCATTCTAAGCAAACAAACTTAAATTTTGCCGCCTACCAGTGATATGGTATAAGCTCCAAGACAGTACCACGCGTCAGCGCCTTGCAAAGTACGAAACCGTAGCATAGCTACCATCAGCTATACTTTGATGTAAGTTTATCAGCCACGGTTTAGCCTGCAGTGAAACTGAAGCTGAGGACACGTCCAATGTGTCAATGTGTGTGGTAATGCTGCTAATGGTCCAGTATGAACATTTCAGAATATTTAACCCATCGGCAACCGTTATCCCGATTTTGCTGGGATAAGAAAAACCTCGGGGGAAAGTGCCGGTTCAAGCCATACAGGTGGTTAGGGTAACTGCGACTCTTCAAGGTCCCGCCGAGAGCGTTTTGGCCAATGCGATCTGTTTGCGGATTTCTCACCTTAAAAGGTAGATGGGCATGGGTGCCGGGCTTCCGCGCCACCAGTGGCCACCGCACAAGCATTTACACCCGCAGATTGCCAGTGCTCGCGAAGGATTAGCGCTTCTCCGCTATGGTAAAATTCTGAGTTGATAGGATGCACCGCTCACTAATGTTAACTTTCTTTTCTCTCGTATCATTGCCTTCTATAGACGCCTTCACACGCGCGAGGTACGCTGGTCGAGGAGCTACGAGTACGGCTCTGCCGGTGCCACTGCGAAGACCGAGTTGTTTCGATCGAGACCTGGACGCTCCTGTTCGTGGAGGAGCCCGACCGCTACTTCGGCAATGTACGTGAGGCGTCAGGGCTACTAACAGACGTCGTGTCGGAAGTCAGAAACATAAAACAAAAATAGCAGTTCTCATTTTAACCCAAAAACATTATTTGGATCGTTTATTTAGATTAATCTATACTCGGAGGTCCGAGTATAATTAATTCTAGTTTAAACTAAGCTACGCTTCCTCACACACGTGCGCACACATGTGAGCTAAAGTAGTGAGCCAAAGTAGGCCCATTACCTCGGTAACACTTTGCAAACGGCACCATTCGCTACTTCATATTCATTCTAAGCAAACAAACTTAAATTTTGCCGCCTACCAGTGATATGGTATAAGCTCCAAGACAGTACCACGCGTCAGCGCCTTGCAAAGTACGAAACCGTAGCATAGCTACCATCAGCTATACTTTGATGTAAGTTTATCAGCCACGGTTTAGCCTGCAGTGAAACTGAAGCTGAGGACACGTCCAATGTGTCAATGTGTGTGGTAATGCTGCTAATGGTCCAGTATGAACATTTCAGAATATTTAACCCATCGGCAACCGTTATCCCGATTTTGCTGGGATAAGAAAAACCTCGGGGGAAAGTGCCGGTTCAAGCCATACAGGTGGTTAGGGTAACTGCGACTCTTCAAGGTCCCGCCGAGAGCGTTTTGGCCAATGCGATCTGTTTGCGGATTTCTCACCTTAAAAGGTAGATGGGCATGGGTGCCGGGCTTCCGCGCCACCAGTGGCCACCGCACAAGCATTTACACCCGCAGATTGCCAGTGCTCGCGAAGGATTAGCGCTTCTCCGCTATGGTAAAATTCTGAGTTGATAGGATGCACCGCTCACTAATGTTAACTTTTTTTTCTCTCGTATCATTGCCTTCTATAGACGCCTTCACACGCGCGAGGTACGCTGGTCGAGGAGCTACGAGTACGGCTCTGCCGGTGCCACTGCGAAGACCGAGTTGTTTCGATCGAGACCTGGACGCTCCTGTTCGTGGAGGAGCCCGACCGCTACTTCGGCAATGTACGTGAGGCGTCAGGGCTACTAACAGACGTCGTGTCGGAAGTCAGAAACATAAAACAAAAATAGCAGTTCTCATTTTAACCCAAAAACATTATTTGGATCGTTTATTTAGATTAATCTATACTCGGAGGTCCGAGTATAATTAATTCTAGTTTAAACTAAGCTACGCTTCCTCACACACGTGCGCACACATGTGAGCTAAAGTAGTGAGCCAAAGTAGGCCCATTACCTCGGTAACACTTTGCAAACGGCACCATTCGCTACTTCATATTCATTCTAAGCAAACAAACTTAAATTTTGCCGCCTACCAGTGATATGGTATAAGCTCCAAGACAGTACCACGCGTCAGCGCCTTGCAAAGTACGAAACCGTAGCATAGCTACCATCAGCTATACTTTGATGTAAGTTTATCAGCCACGGTTTAGCCTGCAGTGAAACTGAAGCTGAGGACACGTCCAATGTGTCAATGTGTGTGGTAATGCTGCTAATGGTCCAGTATGAACATTTCAGAATATTTAACCCATCGGCAACCGTTATCCCGATTTTGCTGGGATAAGAAAAACCTCGGGGGAAAGTGCCGGTTCAAGCCATACAGGTGGTTAGGGTAACTGCGACTCTTCAAGGTCCCGCCGAGAGCGTTTTGGCCAATGCGATCTGTTTGCGGATTTCTCACCTTAAAAGGTAGATGGGCATGGGTGCCGGGCTTCCGCGCCACCAGTGGCCACCGCACAAGCATTTACACCCGCAGATTGCCAGTGCTCGCGAAGGATTAGCGCTTCTCCGCTATGGTAAAATTCTGAGTTGATAGGATGCACCGCTCACTAATGTTAACTTTTTTTTCTCTCGTATCATTGCCTTCTATAGACGCCTTCACACGCGCGAGGTACGCTGGTCGAGGAGCTACGAGTACGGCTCTGCCGGTGCCACTGCGAAGACCGAGTTGTTTCGATCGAGACCTGGACGCTCCTGTTCGTGGAGGAGCCCGACCGCTACTTCGGCAATGTACGTGAGGCGTCAGGGCTACTGGAGCTTTAGCATAAGGGAGGCTGACGCTGAGATATGTTGTGGACTCGGTAGGTGTGCGAGCTGGACACCACCATCAACCCCCACAAGGTAAGGCGGCGTCTTGGCAGCTTTGGCGTTCATATCTAGGGGCTCATGCTCGTGGTGTTGTTGTCGACAGGCGTATTACATTCAGAACGAGCTGTTCACCGGCTACTCCCGGCAGGAGTTGAGCAAGGAGGCGATCTTGCGCATCTGCGTCCACCTAAGCTACGTGCCCCCACCGCTGAAGCCATGCGGGTGCTGACACTTCACCCTAACGCGATTCGACTCCACAGCGAATGTCCAAGCGCGATGCCGAAGGCACGACGGTGGAAACAAGCGGCAGGGAGGACGCCAAGAGCACGACAGGGACAGCGGGGTGTGGCAAGACTCCAAGAACGACAGATACAACGGCGGCTTGAAGCATGGAGTCTTCATGGTCAGCTGGGGTCTGGTTACGGAGCCCACGATGCCGTACGTCGACTCGAGTAAGCTCGACCGCTACGATCACTTCATCTTGTATTGGGTTCTCTAGACCTCGTATGACAACTCATGGGGCGACAGCGGCTTCATTACGCTGTCAAACTCAACTGCAGGTCGAAGCTGATTAGAGTTGTGATTGATTTTCATGCAATTTATACATAGTTGTTGGTTTGACCCTCGGCGGCAATGTTAGAGCTTACTGCATCGACCATCTTGGTTCAGCTGCGTACAGGTGTAAATCCCGAGGGGAGCTGCTGTAAGTCATCGGAACCTGAATTGTTTTCAGTAACTTCCACCGCTTGCAAAACGAATTTCGGCACGTATTACGATGCCGCGGACACACTCGTGTTGTCAGCGCCACCAGACGTAGATGAGGTAGCTTCATGCACAAAGCACGCATTGCCAAAACCACATCTTCTTCAAACACAGTGTCGTGGAAAATAATAGGGTGGCGGAGCTGATAAGGGAGCTGGGTTGAGCCAACTTCGAGTCTGGATCAGCATTGATTACAGTATCGCTGCCTTCAGCAATATTGCGGATGCCTGCGGTGACGACGCTGATCTTGAGCAAGTGTGGAAAGCGATGCCCTAGACGCAATCAGCTCCATATCTCTAGCGGCCAGGTCACGTTGGATCTCAATACCAACCACACGAAATGCTTGCGTTTGCAGAGCGATTTGAGCGAGAACATTTCCCACGCCGGATCCAGCATCCAGAAACACGTCATTCACTTGAATATTCGCTTCTTCGATCAGCATGGACACCCCAGCCATTGTAATCTCCCCGGTATTTAGCTGACGTTCACTCGCGCGCACATCACGCCTGGTGAGTAGGCAGAATAGTCCTTCAGTGGCGTTGTAGGTTTCTTGCGGTGATAGGATCGAAATGGTATGTGGTGAAGGCGAAAACCGTAGAGGAGACGCGGCTTTGGCTTCCAAATGCAGTCCTGCTCGGTCTGGTGGCGAGCGGAAATAGCGTGGGGGGAAACTCAGCACGTTATTGTCATATCGTCTCTTGAGCGTCTTGATTCGCTGTTGCAGTTTGGTTGCGCTCCATGTTGACGGCCTCATGTCTTTCTCCACTGACACCCAGTCGATTCGGCTTCCCGCTTGCTTGCTCTACACCGCCGCGAGCTGAACGAGTTGTCGATCCTCTTCATCTGAAAGGTCAGCCATTTTTCGCTTCGGATACTGTCTATACAAACTCAAGTAAAACGACCCTTTGGGGGTTCATACTGAAACCGAGTTTATTTTTTTTGCATTTGTAAGTCAACGTTGGGTCGCTGTCGACCGAGTCAATGTAGACTCGTTCAGAGTCGACGTTGACTTCGCTATTACTGAAATTACTACGTTTGAGACTTGGTTTAAGTCCATGTTGACTTCGCGATCAATAAAACAAGCGTATTCGAGTCAAAGTTGACTCGCTCTAAGTCATCGGTGACTTGGAAATGTGTATTCATTCATCGTTACGCAGCAGCACACACAACTACAGCAGACTAAGGATTAATGGTTTTCTCCAACACGCCCAATGCTTCCATAATCTCCATGCATACATACGCGTATCTGCCGTGGTCCATCGAGTGGATGACGGTCCATGTCTTGTCGTGGACCAACTCATTTCTTTTCTCTCAGAACTCGACCGCAAGCGCCTTGAACTCTTCAGCGTCCGCCGTCTTCGATCCAAACGCCTCCTTCATTTTGCCCAGAATGAAGTCGCGCTTCTTCTGCATTGTGCTCGTGTTACCAACATTTTTTTCAGTTCAGAGACAATGGAAGTCAATACAATGTCAAACCACACTGAAGCAGAAACTCAAGCGGCTTACCATCTCGGGTGACGGCGTTCCATTCCGTGAACTCTTCGATATCACCGCGCTATGCTTGAACATACTCAAGTACAGCTCTAGCCTCGCGATGGTGTCTTGCAATCCGCCGTTTCCGTTTTCACCGCCTCTAGCGCAGCCTTCATCGAATCCAACTGCGTTCTCACTCCATCCCGTTCTGCTTGCATCGCCGCCCTCTCTTCCTCGATCCGGTTGCGGTTGGCTTCAAGCTCTTTAAACGCAGCTGGGCACCCGTTGTTCTTGAACTGTTCTTCCAGGAGCCGGGTCTGGCGCTTCATTTCATTCAAAATCTTCGCCTGCCTCAGCGATATTCGGCCTCCTTGTTGCTTCTCTCGACTCGGCTTCTCTCGTTTCTTTTTATCCGCGTCCAACTGCTGCCGCTCCCGTTGCAGGCGATGCGTTACGTTCTGGAGACGCCGGTCCTCCTCTTTGAGCTTGGCCTCATGAGATTGCAGTTCCTCGGCTTTGACTTGTAGTTCTTCCTCCTTGTTCTCCATATTCTTCTCTCGCGTAGCCATCTCGTTCTCCCGGTCCTCCAGTTTTTTCTTGCGCTCGTCCACCTCTCTCGTGAGGTTGTTAATGTCTTCGTGCACATCCTGGAGTTTCTTTGCATGGCTAGCCTGCGCCTTGAGTAGATTGTCTGCGTACGTGGTGACGGATTGCTTCGACAAATTCAACTCAGTTTCCACATGGGCAAGTTTGTTGCGCAAGCCACTTGAAATCGCCCTCTCTAGTTTTGCAGCCGTCTTCTTCCACTCATGCGCTATCACGGTACATCTGTCGTCACCACTGCCATCATTCCTGAGTTCGGCCAGCTCCTTCGCAGCAGCTGCTAACTGCTCCTCTAATTTCCTTGAGCGTGCTTGTTCCTCCTCCAGCTGTCGAGCCCCTTTCTGCTTCTCTTCATCCAGCTTCTCTCGGAACTGCTGCAGTGCTTGCAAAATGGTATTTTCAAGATGCGCATACCCCCCTCGCAAAGGGTGGGTTTGCAGGCTCCGAGCTGGGGCACCTTCCTCCTGCACGGCTACGGGTGTCTGCGAGATTGGAGGCCCTGGAGCTTGGTCTGACGCTAGCGATGTTTGGTTTCTGGCTGCGGAAAGCTGCTGAGCCGCCTGGATGTCGCATTGCTCGATCGCCAGGTGCTCGGCTCCGCCACGTTGCGATAGCCTCGACGAACCCGATCCAGCGGTCTGCGCGTGTGCGTCTGCTTTCAGGGCTTGGTCCGCTAAGTAAACCTCGTAGAACTCTTTTAGCAGCGAAGGCTCGTGACGCTGGAGCTCTTCTGGGTTGTTTTGAACGCCTTGAATTGAGTCAACTTGCTCAAAGCCTCGTAGTCCAAGTCGTTGTCGCTGTTCCTAGCAGCTGTGTATTTCTCCGCCCACACACGCTTCTGGTAGTCTGCCATCTTGTAGTAATCACCTGCCTTGCGCCGTGGGCCTTGCCGCCCTTCTCGTCTGCGATCTTCTTTTGTAGAGCCAAACACGTGGACCGGAGCGCGTGCTTGGGTACCAGGGGAGTCGTCTCTTCATCGCGAGTCGTTGCCTCGTCCTCCGATGCACTCGCGGCGCCCAACTCGCGCGTCGTCCCGTTGGATCCTTCGCCAGTCTTCTTGGCAGTCTTCCTCTGCTTACGGGGGCTTGGCAAAGTGTCTGGCCCCTCCCCCTTCTTCCGCTTCTGCTTGGCATTGCCGGTGGCAGGCGTGGTCTTGGCAGCGTTTGCTGACTTGTCAGTGGGCGCGCTCGTCCGCTTTGTCGCTGGCTTGTCCGTCGCCTTTGCAGCTTTCTTTCTCCTCGTCATGGGCGTCTGGCGAGCAGCACCGCCAGCAGTTCCCTCGCTCTCTGCAGCCTGAGATCGCTTCGCCATCAGCATCGCCATCCGCACTTTGCTGCAGTCAAGGTTTCTTGAGAAAGTGAAACCGCAAATCCTACAGTTGAAATAAATTGATATGGACCAATTCGATTTAGAATCAAGAGGACTGTAAGTCAACGTTGACTTGGTATAAGTCGTTGTTGAGCTGGCTTCAGTAACAAGTGTCTAAGCCAGCGTAGACACGTTCCAAGTCGTAGTCGACTTGGTGACTCAATGAGAGATGTACGAGTAGATGCACATGGTTGTCTTTACAAAAAGATGCAGAAGTGGTGAGATAAGCGCCAACACAAGAGTGGATACGTCACATTAGAGATTTACTGAAGCTACCAGTCACCTCTTCGGCATTGCCGGAGCACGTTAGCGATCACGCATAAACTCTTCCAGCGTGATGATGTAGGCGCGCGGCATATTGACGGTGGTCAGCTCGTTATCGATGTGCAGCACATCGACAGTGTCCACCTCGTTGTCGGGGCGCGGCTCCTCCGGTGCGTTGTGTCTCCAGATGTTGAAGTACTCCACGAAAGTGCGACCAGGGATAGCGTGGCCAACACGATTAACTCGTTCCAAGAGCTGTGTTGCTTCCGCTATGCCAGGGGGGCATTCGAACGCAGCAACCGCAAGCTTGTCCGAGGGAATGTGCAGATCCTGATAGCGCTCAAAATCATCCATCCGAAGGTTGCAGTTGTCGACGATAACGATATCCACGCCACGGTCGGGGCTGCGCGACAGGAGTTCTCTGCATTGTTCGTAGCAGCTTCGATGCGCCTCCCAAAGCCGACTTGCGTCGAACACATAGGATCCTCCGCGCTGAAAGAAGAGGTCAGCTGAGCAAATCGATGCGCGGAAATCAACCGTTGCTGCATAACGAGCGACCTCTTGAGCAAACGTTGTCTTGCCACTGCCCGGGAGGCCTCTCATGATCACGAAGAGCCGAGGCGGGTACTGCATATACGCCCGGCAGCCCTCCCAATACACCCGGTAGTCATCAACGATTTGTCGGGCTTCGAACTCCATTTCTCACACGTCAGATGTCGTCAAACCTCCAAGATTCCGCTGCTTCTGATGTTGACCACACCATATCACCGACAATGTGTGAACACACATAACATAAGTCAACATTGACCTGGGATAGTCAACATCGACATCTTGGCCGAACCAGTTGCGCTCCTGGACGATCTCAGCGACGTGGGCGACCGTCGGCCAGCATTTCAGCGAGCCCGGCCACAGCGTCACAGCGAGCGCGGCGTGGCGGCGGCCGGCACGGCGACAGCAGCATGGCGAGATGGTGAGCATGGCGGCGGCACGGGCGACCGTCGGGCAGCATTCCGGTGAGCCCGGTCGCAGCGTCGCGACGAGCGTAGCGGTAGCGGGGACAGCGAGAGCAACATGACGAGCATGGCGGCGGCCGGCACAGCGAGCGCAGCACGACGGGCATGGCGACGGCCGGCACAGCGACAGCAGCATGGCGAGATGGTGAGCATGGCGGCGGCACGGGCGACCGTCGGGCAGCATTCCCGTGAGCCCGGCCGCAGCGTCGCGACGAGCGTAGCGGTAGCGGGGACAGCGAGAGCAACATGACGAGCATGGCGACGGCCGGCACAGCGAACGCAGCATGGCGAGATGGTGAGCATGGCGGCGGCATGGGCGACCGTCGGGCAGCATTCCCGTGAGCCCGGCCGCAGCGTCGCGACGAGCGTAGCGGTAGCGGGGACAGCGAGCGTAGCATGACGAGCATGGCGGCGGTCGGCACAGCGACAGCAGCATGGCGAGATGGTGAGCATGGCGGCGGCACGGGCGACCGTCGGGCAGCATTCCGGTGAGCCCGGTCGCAGCGTCGCGACGAGCGTAGCGGTAGCGGGGACAGCGAGAGCAACATGACGAGCATGGCGGCGGCCGGCACAGCGAGCGCAGCACGACGGGCATGGCGACGGCCGGCACAGCGACAGCAGCATGGCGAGATGGTGAGCATGGCGGCGGCACGGGCGACCGTCGGGCAGCATTCCGGTGAGCCCGGCCGCAGCGTCGCGGTGAGCGTAGCGGTAGCGGGGACAGCGAGCGTAGCATGACGAGCATGGCGGCGGCCGGCACAGCGAGCGCAGCACGACGGGCATGGCAGCGGCCGGCACAGCGACAGCAGCATGGCGAGATGGTGAGCATGGCGGCGGCACGGGCGACCGTCGGGCAGCATTCCCGTGAGCCCGGCCGCAGCGTCGCGACGAGCGTAGCGGTAGCGGGGACAGCGAGAGCAACATGACGAGCATGGCGACGGCCGGCACAGCGAACGCAGCATGGCGAGATGGTGAGCATGGCGGCGGCATGGGCGACCGTCGGGCAGCATTCCCGTGAGCCCGGCCGCAGCGTCGCGACGAGCGTAGCGGTAGCGGGGACAGCGAGCGTAGCATGACGAGCATGGCGGCGGTCGGCACAGCGACAGCAGCATGGCGAGATGGTGAGCATGGCGGCGGCACGGGCGACCGTCGGGCAGCATTCCGGTGAGCCCGGCCGCAGCGTCGCGGTGAGCGTAGCGGTAGCGGGGACAGCGAGCGTAGCATAGCGAGAGCAACATGACGAGCATGGCGACGGCCGGCACAGCGAACGCAGCATGGCGAGATGGTGAGCATGGCGGCGGCACGGGCGACCGTCGGGCAGCATTCCCGTGAGCCCGGCCGCAGCGTCGCGACGAGCGTAGCGGTAGCGGGGACAGCGAGAGCAACATGACGAGCATGGCGACGGCCGGCACAGCGAACGCAGCATGGCGAGATGGTGAGCATGGCGGCGGCACGGGCGACCGTCGGGCAGCATTCCCGTGAGCCCGGCCGCAGCGTCGCGACGAGCGTAGCGATAGCGGGGACAGCGAGAGCAACATGACGAGCATGGCGGCGGCCGGCACAGCGAACGCAGCACGACGGGCATGGCGACGGCCGGCACAGCGAACGCAGCATGGCGAGATGGTGAGCATGGCGGCGGCACGGGCGACCGTCGGGCAGCATTCCCGTGAGCCCGGCCGCAGCGTCGCGACGAGCGTAGCGGTAGCGGGGACAGCAAGAGCAACATGACGAGCATGGCGACGGCCGGCACAGCGAGCGCAGCACGACGAGCATGGCGGCGGCCGGCACAGCGAGCGCAGCACGACGAGCATGGCGGCGGCCGGCACAGCGAGCGCAGCACGACGGGCATGGCGGCGGCCGGCACAGCGAACGCAGCATGGCGAGATGGTGAGCATGGCGGCGGCACGGGCGACCGTCGGGCAGCATTCCCGTGAGCCCGGCCGCAGCGTCGCGACGAGCGTAGCGGTAGAGGGGACAGCGAGCGTAGCATGACGAGCATGGCGGTGGCCGGCACAGCGAGCGCAGCACGACGGGCATGGCAGCGGCCGGCACAGCGACAGCAGCATGGCGAGATGGTGAGCATGGCGGCGGCACGGGCGACCGTCGGGCAGCATTCCCGTGAGCCCGGCCGCAGCGTCGCGGCGAGCGTAGCGGTAGCGGGGACAGCGAGCGTAGCATGACGAGCATGGCGGCGGTCGGCACAGAGACAGCAGCATGGCGAGATGGTGAGCATGGCGAGATGGTGAGCATGGCGGCGGCACGGGCGACCGTCGGGCAGCATTCCGGTGAGCCCGGCCGCAGCGTCGCGACGAGCGTAGCGGTAGAGGGGACAGCGAGAGCAACATGACGAGCATGGCGACGGCCGGCACAGCGAGCGCAGCATGGCAAGATGGTGAGCATGGCGACGGCACGGGCGACCGTCGGGCAGCATTCCCGTGAGCCCGGCCGCAGCGTCGCGACGAGCGTAGCGATAGCGGGGACAGCGAGAGCAACATGACGAGCATGGCGGCGGCCGGCACAGCGAACGCAGCACGACGGGCATGGCGACGGCCGGCACAGCGAACGCAGCATGGCGAGATGGTGAGCATGGCGGCGGCACGGGCGACCGTCGGGCAGCATTCCCGTGAGCCCGGCCGCAGCGTCGCGACGAGCGTAGCGGTAGAGGGGACAGCGAGCGTAGCATGACGAGCATGGCGGCGGCCGGCACAGCGAGCGCAGCATGGCGAGATGGTGAGCATGGCGACGGCACGGGCGACCGTCGGGCAGCATTCCGGTGAGCCCGGCCGCAGCGTCGCGACGAGCGTAGCGGTAGAGGGGACAGCGAGAGCAACATGACGAGCATGGCGGCGGCCGGCACAGCGAACGCAGCACGACGGGCATGGCGACGGCCGGCACAGCGAACGCAGCATGGCGAGATGGTGAGCATGGCGGCGGCACGGGCGACCGTCGGGCAGCATTCCCGTGAGCCCGGCCGCAGCGTCGCGACGAGCGTAGCGGTAGCGGGGACAGCAAGAGCAACATGACGAGCATGGCGGCGGCCGGCACAGCGAGCGCAGCACGACGGGCATGGCGGCGGCCGGCACAGCGAACGCAGCATGGCGAGATGGTGAGCATGGCGGCGGCACGGGCGACCGTCGGGCAGCATTCCCGTGAGCCCGGCCGCAGCGTCGCGACGAGCGTAGCGGTAGAGGGGACAGCGAGCGTAGCATGACGAGCATGGCGGTGGCCGGCACAGCGAGCGCAGCACGACGGGCATGGCAGCGGCCGGCACAGCGACAGCAGCATGGCGAGATGGTGAGCATGGCGGCGGCACGGGCGACCGTCGGGCAGCATTCCCGTGAGCCCGGCCGCAGCGTCGCGGCGAGCGTAGCGGTAGCGGGGACAGCGAGCGTAGCATGACGAGCATGGCGGCGGTCGGCACAGAGACAGCAGCATGGCGAGATGGTGAGCATGGCGAGATGGTGAGCATGGCGGCGGCACGGGCGACCGTCGGGCAGCATTCCGGTGAGCCCGGCCGCAGCGTCGCGACGAGCGTAGCGGTAGAGGGGACAGCGAGAGCAACATGACGAGCATGGCGACGGCCGGCACAGCGAGCGCAGCATGGCAAGATGGTGAGCATGGCGACGGCACGGGCGACCGTCGGGCAGCATTCCCGTGAGCCCGGCCGCAGCGTCGCGACGAGCGTAGCGATAGCGGGGACAGCGAGAGCAACATGACGAGCATGGCGGCGGCCGGCACAGCGAACGCAGCACGACGGGCATGGCGACGGCCGGCACAGCGAACGCAGCATGGCGAGATGGTGAGCATGGCGGCGGCACGGGCGACCGTCGGGCAGCATTCCCGTGAGCCCGGCCGCAGCGTCGCGACGAGCGTAGCGGTAGAGGGGACAGCGAGCGTAGCATGACGAGCATGGCGGCGGCCGGCACAGCGAGCGCAGCATGGCGAGATGGTGAGCATGGCGACGGCACGGGCGACCGTCGGGCAGCATTCCGGTGAGCCCGGCCGCAGCGTCGCGACGAGCGTAGCGGTAGAGGGGACAGCGAGAGCAACATGACGAGCATGGCGGCGGCCGGCACAGCGAACGCAGCACGACGGGCATGGCGACGGCCGGCACAGCGAACGCAGCATGGCGAGATGGTGAGCATGGCGGCGGCACGGGCGACCGTCGGGCAGCATTCCCGTGAGCCCGGCCGCAGCGTCGCGACGAGCGTAGCGGTAGCGGGGACAGCAAGAGCAACATGACGAGCATGGCGACGGCCGGCACAGCGAGCGCACATGGCGGGCATGGCGACGGCCGGCACAGCGAACGCAGCATGGCGAGATGGTGAGCATGGCGGCGGCACGGGCGACCGTCGGGCAGCATTCCCGTGAGCCCGGCCGCAGCGTCGCGACGAGCGTAGCGGTAGAGGGGACAGCGAGCGTAGCATGACGAGCATGGCGGCGGCCGGCACAGCGAGCGCAGCATGGCGAGATGGTGAGCATGGCGACGGCACGGGCGACCGTCGGGCAGCATTCCGGTGAGCCCGGCCGCAGCGTCGCGACGAGCGTAGCGGTAGAGGGGACAGCGAGAGCAACATGACGAGCATGGCGGCGGCCGGCACAGCGAACGCAGCACGACGGGCATGGCGACGGCCGGCACAGCGAACGCAGCATGGCGAGATGGTGAGCATGGCGGCGGCACGGGCGACCGTCGGGCAGCATTCCCGTGAGCCCGGCCGCAGCGTCGCGACGAGCGTAGCGATAGCGGGGACAGCGAGAGCAACATGACGAGCATGGCGGCGGCCGGCACAGCGAACGCAGCACGACGGGCATGGCGACGGCCGGCACAGCGAACGCAGCATGGCGAGATGGTGAGCATGGCGGCGGCACGGGCGACCGTCGGGCAGCATTCCCGTGAGCCCGGCCGCAGCGTCGCGACGAGCGTAGCGGTAGAGGGGACAGCGAGCGTAGCATGACGAGCATGGCGGCGGCCGGCACAGCGAGCGCAGCATGGCGAGATGGTGAGCATGGCGACGGCACGGGCGACCGTCGGGCAGCATTCCGGTGAGCCCGGCCGCAGCGTCGCGACGAGCGTAGCGGTAGAGGGGACAGCGAGAGCAACATGACGAGCATGGCGGCGGCCGGCACAGCGAACGCAGCACGACGGGCATGGCGACGGCCGGCACAGCGAACGCAGCATGGCGAGATGGTGAGCATGGCGGCGGCACGGGCGACCGTCGGGCAGCATTCCCGTGAGCCCGGCCGCAGCGTCGCGACGAGCGTAGCGGTAGCGGGGACAGCAAGAGCAACATGACGAGCATGGCGACGGCCGGCACAGCGAGCGCACATGGCGGCGGCCGGCACAGCGAGCGCAGCACGACGAGCATGGCGGCGGCCGGCACAGCGAGCGCAGCACGACGGGCATGGCGGCGGCCGGCACAGCGAACGCAGCATGGCGAGATGGTGAGCATGGCGGCGGCACGGGCGACCGTCGGGCAGCATTCCCGTGAGCCCGGCCGCAGCGTCGCGACGAGCGTAGCGGTAGAGGGGACAGCGAGCGTAGCATGACGAGCATGGCGGTGGCCGGCACAGCGAGCGCAGCACGACGGGCATGGCAGCGGCCGGCACAGCGACAGCAGCATGGCGAGATGGTGAGCATGGCGGCGGCACGGGCGACCGTCGGGCAGCATTCCCGTGAGCCCGGCCGCAGCGTCGCGGCGAGCGTAGCGGTAGCGGGGACAGCGAGCGTAGCATGACGAGCATGGCGGCGGTCGGCACAGCGACAGCAGCATGGCGAGATGGTGAGCATGGCGGCGGCACGGGCGACCGTCGGGCAGCATTCCCGTGAGCCCGGCCGCAGCGTCGCGGTGAGCGTAGCGGTAGCGGGGACAGCGAGCGTAGCATAGCGAGAGCAACATGACGAGCATGGCGACGGCCGGCACAGCGAACGCAGCATGGCGAGATGGTGAGCATGGCGGCGGCACGGGCGACCGTCGGGCAGCATTCCCGTGAGCCCGGCCGCAGCGTCGCGACGAGCGTAGCGGTAGCGGGGACAGCGAGAGCAACATGACGAGCATGGCGGCGGCCGGCACAGCGAACGAAGCATGACGAGATGGTGAGCATGGCGGCGGCACGGGCGACCGTCGGGCAGCATTCCCGTGAGCCCGGCCGCAGCGTCGCGACGAGCGTAGCGGTAGAGGGGACAGCGAGAGCAACATGACGAGCATGGCGACGGCCGGCACAGCGAACGCAGCATGGCGAGATGGTGAGCATGGCGGCGGCACGGGCGACCGTCGGGAAGCATTCCCGTGAGCCCGGCCGCAGCGTCGCGGCGAGCGTAGCGGTAGCGGGGACAGCGAGAGCAACATGACGAGCATGGCGGCGGCCGGCACAGCGAACGCAGCATGGCGAGATGGTGAGCATGGCGGCGGCACGGGCGACCGTCGGGCAGCATTCCGGTGAGCCCGGCCGCAGCGTCGCGACGAGCGTAGCGGTAGAGGGGACAGCGAGAGCAACATGACGAGCATGGCGACGGCCGGCACAGCGAACGCAGCATGGCGAGATGGTGAGCATGGCGGCGGCACGGGCGACCGTCGGGCAGCATTCCCGTGAGCCCGGCCGCAGCGTCGCGACGAGCGTAGCGGTAGCGGGGACAGCGAGCGTAGCATGACGAGCATGGCGGTGGCCGGCACAGCGAGCGCAGCACGACGGGCATGGCAGCGGCCGGCACAGCGACAGCAGCATGGCGAGATGGTGAGCATGGCGGCGGCACGGGCGACCGTCGGGCAGCATTCCCGTGAGCCCGGCCGCAGCGTCGCGACGAGCGTAGCAGTAGCGGGGACAGCGAGCGTAGCATGACGAGCATGGCGGCGGCCGGCACAGCGAGCGCAGCACGACGAGCATGGCGGCGGCCGGCACAGCGAGCGCAGCACGACGGGCATGGCGGCGGCCGGCACAGCGAACGCAGCATGGCGAGATGGTGAGCATGGCGGCGGCACGGGCGATCGTCGGGCAGCATTCCCGTGAGCCCGGCCGCAGCGTCGCGACGAGCGTAGCGGTAGAGGGGACAGCGAGAGCAACATGACGAGCATGGCGGCGGCCGGCACAGCGAACGCAGCATGGCGAGATGGTGAGCATGGCGGCGGCACGGGCGACCGTCGGGCAGCATTCCGGTGAGCCCGGCCGCAGCGTCGCGACGAGCGTAGCGGTAGCGGGGACAGCGAGAGCAACATGACGAGCATGGCGGCGGCCGGCACAGCGAACGCAGCATGGCGAGATGGTGAGCATGGCGGCGGCACGGGCGACCGTCGGGCAGCATTCCCGTGAGCCCGGCCGCAGCGTCGCGACGAGCATAGCGGTAGAGGGGACAGCGAGTGCAACATGACGAGCATGGCGGCGGCCGGCACAGCGAGCGCAGCACGACGGGCATGGCGACGGCCGGCACAGCGACAGCAGCATGGCGAGATGGTGAGCATGGCGGCGGCACGGGCGATCGTCGGGCAGCATTCCGGTGAGCCCGGCCGCAGCGTCGCGACGAGCGTAGCGGTAGCGGGGACAGCGAGCGTAGCATGACGAGCATGGCGGCGGCCGGCACAGCGAGCGCAGCACGACGGGCATGGCAGCGGCCGGCACAGCGACAGCAGCATGGCGAGATGGTGAGCATGGCGGCGGCACGGGCGACCGTCGGGCAGCATTCCGGTGAGCCCGGCCGCAGCGTCGCGACGAGCGTAGCGGTAGAGGGGACAGCGAGTGCAACATGACGAGCATGGCGGCGGCCGGCACAGCGAGCGCAGCACGACGGGCATGGCGACGGCCGGCACAGCGACAGCAGCATGGCGAGATGGTGAGCATGGCGGCGGCACGGGCGACCGTCGGGCAGCATTCCGGTGAGCCCGGCCGCAGCGTCGCGACGAGCGTAGCGGTAGCGGGGACAGCGAGCGTAGCATGACGAGCATGGCGGCGGCCGGCACAGCGAGCGCAGCACGACAAGCATGGCGGCGGCCGGCACAGCGAGCGCAGCACAACGGGCATGGCGGCGGCCGGCACAGCGAACGCAGCATGGCGAGATGGTGAGCATGGCGGCGGCACGGGCGACCGTCGGGCAGCATTCCGGTGAGCCCGGCCGCAGCGTCGCGACGAGCGTAGCGGTAGCGGGGACAGCGAGCGTAGCATGACGAGCATGGCGGCGGCCGGCACAGCGAGCGCAGCACGACGGGCATGGCGACGGCCGGCACAGCGACAGCAGCATGGCGAGATGGTGAGCATGGCGGCGGCACGGGCGACCGTCGGGCAGCATTCCGGTGAGCCCGGCCGCAGCGTCGCGACGAGCGTAGCGGTAGAGGGGACAGCGAGAGCAACATGACGAGCATGGCGGCGGCCGGCACAGCAAACGCAGCACGACGAGCATGGCGGCGGCCGGCACAGCGAGCGCAGCACGACGGGCATGGCGGCGGCCGGCACAGCGAACGCAGCATGGCGAGATGGTGAGCATGGCGGCGGCACGGGCGACCGTCGGGCAGCATTCCGGTGAGCCCGGCCGCAGCGTTACGGCGAGTGTAGCGGTAGCGGGGCAGCGAGAGTAGCATGACGAGCATGGCGGCGGCCGGTACACCGAGCGCAGCACGGCAGGCATGGCGGCGGCCGGCATGGGCGACAGCAGCACGGCGAGCATAGCGGTGGCCAGAGTAAGGATCAGCAGCTTGGTGGCGGCCTTGGCGGCGACGGTCGATGCGAGCCGGGCGACGGCATAGTTGTGGAAGCGCGCTGGAGCAGTAGCTGGCGATTTCGGAAATGAGGTTTGGGATTGAGCGCGCGGAAACGATCTTCTGGCACGGATCGCAGCGCGAGCGTGATTGGCCGCGAAATGGCTGGCCAATTACACGTCGCAAATTCAAACGATGGGGGCGCTGATTGGCGTAGATACCGGAGCGAACCCACGGGCGAAAATCTGCGTGTTGCGCGAACTCAAAGCGCAAGTTGGAAAAACGCGCGAAAAGCTGTGTGTTGCGCGAAGCTTGATGGCTGAAGCCAGGCTGATACCACTTCGTGTGACCTTTGGATTGAGCCAATGCTGATTGGCTTATTAGCTTCAATTTCAACCCTCGATAAGCACTCCGAATTATAGTAGTTCTTGATTTAGTGACTACCTAGTACGAGGGCATTTCTTTTGCGGTTCTATAGTAACTTACTTTTGCAAGTTCTTCTGCAACAGAAATGATGGCAAACGGTGCCTGAACGTCGCTCGCCTCGCTACCTAGGCCAGTGTGGTGTCCTCACAAAACGCGGTACCTGTAGATATGAAATACCAACCAATGCGTGCACACGGTTTCTATAGGTGAGCGCTAGCACCATTGATCTTGTCCGTCGAAAAAGCTCTGCTTCTGGGTGGTCAAAAGCTCACGAGACAGCACACTAATTCCCTCCTGTTCCTCAACAACACTGATACGAATAGACGCCAGTGACTGCAGCGAGGAATACGCCGCGCTAGCTAAGGTTGATGACCCCCCTCCTTTATTTTACTGCAATTTACTACATATAGGAGCCCACACACCGCTTGACCTCACGTGCCGCGCCATCGTGCTCCCGGCTGGGAGGCAGCGATGCACGGTGGTGCGACACTGGTGATTGGGCCGGCCAAGTCACCACTGACACCTCCATGCAGCCCCCAAAGCTCCCGGGAGCACCATTGCCAACGGACGCGAATTACCCTCGACTTTCGCCATACCACCGATACCAGCCACCCTCGGACCACAGAACGCACCTCACTGGGCGAGGCGGCGAGCCGCGGTGGCGCGGCACGTGAGGTCAAGCGGTGTGTGGGCTCCTATATGTAGTAAATTGCAGTAAAATAAAGGAGGGGGGTCATCAACCTTAGCTAGCGCGGCGTATTCCTCGCTGCAGTCACTGGCGTCTATTCGTATCAGTGTTGTTGAGGAACAGGAGGGAATTAGTGTGCTGTCTCGTGAGCTTTTGACCACCCAGAAGCAGAGCTTTTTCGACGGACAAGATCAATGGTGCTAGCGCTCACCTATAGAAACCGTGTGCACGCATTGGTTGGTATTTCATATCTACAGGTACCGCGTTTTGTGAGGACACCACACTGGCCTAGGTAGCGAGGCGAGCGACGTTCAGGCACCGTTTGCCATCATTTCTGTTGCAGAAGAACTTGCAAAAGTAAGTTACTATAGAACCGCAAAAGAAATGCCCTCGTACTAGGTAGTCACTAAATCAAGAACTACTATAATTCGGAGTGCTTATCGAGGGTTGAAATTGAAGCTAATAAGCCAATCAGCATTGGCTCAATCCAAAGGTCACACGAAGTGGTATCAGCCTGGCTTCAGCCATCAAGCTTCGCGCAACACACAGCTTTTCGCGCGTTTTTCCAACTTGCGCTTTGAGTTCGCGCAACACGCAGATTTTCGCCCGTGGGTTCGCTCCGGTATCTACGCCAATCAGCGCCCCCATCGTTTGAATTTGCGACGTGTAATTGGCCAGCCATTTCGCGGCCAATCACGCTCGCGCTGCGATCCGTGCCAGAAGATCGTTTCCGCGCGCTCAATCCCAAACCTCATTTCCGAAATCGCCAGCTACTGCTCCAGCGCGCTTCCACAACTATGCCGTCGCCCGGCTCGCATCGACCGTCGCCGCCAAGGCCGCCACCAAGCTGCTGATCCTTACTCTGGCCACCGCTATGCTCGCCGTGCTGCTGTCGCCCATGCCGGCCGCCGCCATGCCTGCCGTGCTGCGCTCGGTGTACCGGCCGCCGCCATGCTCGTCATGCTACTCTCGCTGCCCCGCTACCGCTACACTCGCCGTAACGCTGAGGCTGGGCTCGCCGGAATGCTGCCTGACGTTCGCACTCGCCGCCGCCGGCATGCGCGCTGTTGATCTGTCGCCTACGCCGCCACTATGTGTGCCGCAGCTATGCTCGCCGTGCAGCAGTCGCTGCTCCGGGTGCCGCTATGCTTGCCGTCAAGTTTTCTGGTGAGCTTCGATGCTTCGCTGATCTGGGGTTCTAGTGCTTCACGATGTCAATGTTGACATTCCCCAGCCCAACGTTAAATCCCTCTTCTTTACATGCACGTGGGTGGGTGTGCGGCCGTCATGCCCGTCGTTTCGCTTCTCGCGAGCTCGGTCGTGATGCCCGTTGCCATGTAGCGGGTTACGTGCACGGTGAGTGCGACGCCGAGCGTGTATTTATCACTGTGAAAACAATGTTGAGGAGCTCTAGAAGCAGTTTAGGACATCTAGCAGTACCAGCCTATTTGTTATTGCCAAAGGAATCTGCTAAGCAATTCACCTGCGATGTCAACATTGGCACTTGCAACTCAACATCGAGATATTACAAGTATACGATCTGCTCTGTCGTGCTTCGTATCCGGATGTGTTTAGATTCGAAATTTAATATCAGTATAGTTGTATGATCAAGGTCAACAATGCCCACGTATCCGGATGCAAGAAGTGCGCCTTTTGCCCCCCCCCCTCCACCGTCACTCGTCGAGATGGCACAGAAGCGCCGAGTAGGCAGCGGGCGCGAAGAAAAGCAGCGAGGACAGTGAACTCCGAGGCATCTGGTAAGCAAAACGCATCTTTCACTAGCAAAGCGTCGTAGCGATCTTATAGTAGACGTTCATAATGCCGCAGACGACGAGTTTGAAGTCGAGAAGATCATCGAGATGAAGTTCGTGCGTGGAGAGCCCAAGTACCATGTGAAGTGGAAGGGTTACGACGAGACGTCGTGGGAGCCGGAATCGAATCTGCATTGTCCTGAGCTCCTCAACAAGTTCAAGGCAGCACAACTTCAAGAGGCACGCGCGTTGAAGAAAAAAGCAACCCGAAAAGCGGACTTGCCTGACCGAGGTAGCCACGTGACGGCTAAAATCCCTGCAAAACACCAAGAGGGTTCTGAAGGTAACAAGCAGCACGTGTTTGTCGCATGCTCTTATGTTGGTTTTGGGAAAAATGTACTAACTGTAATAATGGTGCCCAGGTTTGGAGGAATGTACGAAGTGGAAAAATTTTTTCGTGAAACTTTTCGTTTTGGCTTGTCTTACTTTGAGGTGAAATGGTAGGGATATTCTCAAACGAGCTGGGAGCCTGCCTCCAATCTGAACTGCCCTGACAAATTAGAGAAGTTTAGGCGTCGCCAGAAAGCAGCACGTCAAGCTATGCTCGAAAACCCAGCTCCAGCTGAAGTCACCGATGCTACCGGGACGGTAGGCCATGACAGCCCTCGGAAAGATACCGATGAGAACGAGAAACCCAGCGGTGGATCTACAGCTCGCCAAGCAAGCAGAGCATCGATTCCAGAAAAGAATGGAGTGGGAGTAACCAATGATGCTTACAATGTGGCTACCGAGAGCCTGCAAACCGATGACCGAACTGAAAATGACTACGAGTACGATTCCCCGGATTACTTTCCCGAGACGACCGAGGAAGAGGCGATCTCAAATGCAGGTGGTGGTGTTGAGCCTTGGGGTGACGGGATCTCAAACAATGCGGATGCGGACGCTACGCCAGTACCGCGAGCAGATTCCAGAGGGTCAGGCAAGGCTCCCAGAAAAAGAAAATCGCCCAGGCAGACAGCAGAAACAACCGCAACACCCTCGCAAAATCGACGTACTCTTTCGTCTCCCGGGAGTCGAGTATCTGGGAAGAAATCGAAAAGGCGTGCGGACATGCTTGCTGATGAAGTGAACGTGGGTATTGATGACGATCACGAGGCTGGAATCGGATGGCTGTTCTGGCGAGAGTGCCGATGACGATTCTGAAGATGAGTTTGCAGATGAGCTTTATATTGCGGGTGATACCGGGAACGAAAGTTTTAGTGTCGAAACAGCAGAGGAAATTCGCGCGGTTACCGGCCCCCAGGACTACATAACAGATGAAATGCTTCGAGGCATGTCTGACAATGGTTGGGAGTTGCTACCGGTAACCGACGAACGGGATGACTCGGACCTGTCCGGCGCTACGGATGTGTTTACGGACCCTCCTCAACTTACTGCCTCGGCTATAGAGGCAGCGAAAACGATGAAACCTTCTGATCTTTTTTTTACTACATGCCGAAGACTCTCTGGACGGAGATTGCCGAGGAAACTAATCGTTACGAGCGTCAGACACGACCGGAAAGACTTCGACAGGCGAAGTTGTCCATTGAAAAGAAGACGGACGACATCCACAAACGCAAGGAAATGTTTCAAGCAAAGAAAAAGGAGCTGGACGCGTTCAAAGACGTACTTGCCGCGGAGATCATGCATTTTCTGGCCCTAGTAATATCCAGGGCTATTTGCCCGATAAAGTCTCGACTGGAAGATCATTGGAAGACGCGAGCCCGTGGAGCGATCCCAGCTGGAACTTGGTCGCCATTTATGGTTACAAGCGTTTCAAGGAGATTAACAGGTACTGTGACTTCCACGTTATTTTAATAAAGGGCCCACTAACACGTCCTTCGCCAGATTTCTCCACTTTACGAACAACCAGGCTCCGCAGGCTAAGACGGACCGGGCATGGAAGATTCGCAACGTGATAAACAAGTTAAAGACTACTTTCAAGGGTGGAATGGAACTAGGGCGCTTGGTTGCATTCGACGAGATGGTTATCCCTTCAAGAAGTTCGCGGAACAAAATACGAGTTTTCCTGAAGAATAAGCCGCACAAGTACGGCACCAAGCTGTTCGCTGTGTGTTGGGGGAAAACCCACTACTGCTCCAGGTATGCTCATTTGCGCTATTTTATATAGTCGGTATCTGAACGCTGTGGATTCATGCTCAGGTTCGAGGTTTATTGCGGTAAGAAACAAAACAGTCAATTTGTTGACACCAGAAGTGGACCAACTGCTGTGGTTCGAAACCTTAAAGCCTTGTGGGAACAGCGTCGGGTGGATCGATCCAAGAAGCCAATCATCATCACTGGTCGCGAGTATTCTTCGGTGACGTTGGGGTTTCGTTTGATGGACAGGGGGTACTACAATATCGGGACGGTTTCTACGACGTGTCTTGGCTTCCCCAAAGACTTGAAGACCGACAAAAAATCAGCTTCGAGAGGGATGCCGCGCGGCTCATACATTCTTGCTCGGAACAATACGAATCGTCAAATGTACTCGACGCGGTGGGTTGACTCGAAAATTTGCTACTTTGTGGCAACTGGGGCCTCCGCTAGACGTGCGATTGTGCGGAGGAAGCAAAAGGACGGCTCACAGGCAAACATTCCGTGTCCGGAGTTTGTGGTATTGTACAACAAGTACATGGGGGGTGTTGACAGTCACGACCAGTTACGTCTGCAAAGGTACGTGTTGCTCTGTTGCGGTTCTGCCGCCCATCACTTACGCCGAAAATGCTTTTGACTAGGTACTCCATTCAAAGAGTCATGCGACCGAAGAAATACTACAAGACTATTTTCTACGGGCTTCTCGACATAGTTGTTATTAACGCTTTTATCACCCACCGTGAGTACGCGAAGTCGGTGGGGGAAAAACCTCTTTCACACGCGGATTTTCTCATTCAGCTACACGAGGAGCTACTCGCTCTCGGAGATGATGACTTCCTGGAAACAGTGCCAGTCGCGGAAGCCGCTGTTACCGAGGTGGAGCCAAGGACTAACCAGACACCAGTTTCGACGGCGTACTCGCTAGCAAGCTCGAAGCATCAATTGATGGTGTCGACGGACAAGACAGCGAAGGGCAAGTTCAAGTTTCGCGTGTGCAAAGTTTGTTCGATACTGCGTGGTGCTGGCAGTCCTGGATCGAATCGACCTCCCGGCACAACGCGTCATTACTGCAAGCAGTGCTCCACTGATCGAGGAAGGCTGATTTTGTGTTCCAAGGCGCGACACGTATCCGATGGTAATGCTGTATCGTGCTTTAACATTTGGCACTCGAAATGGAAGAACGGAGATCAACTTCCGCACTCTGAAAAGGTCGGACGGATCCGAATGCGTTGGTCGAAGGAGGAGTTACGCGGATGGACACAGCTTCCTCGGATGCTGTACTGCCAAGGCAATACGAGACCGATGTTCAGAATGCCGATGGGGCTGCTTCGGTGTCATCTTCGCAGTTACCGGTCCCAAGTGTCACGCGAAACGTAGAGGTACAAGTGCATCAGCCAGAGCGGCCAGGCGCAGATGCAGCAGGACAGGATGAAGAAGGAGTAACTGCGACTGAGAGGCCACCGGATGAGAGCGAGCGGGAGGCCGTGGCGGAAGTGCTGGCGGAGCTGCTCGGCGCGGTGGAGTGTACGCTCAGCGGGGCCGAGCAGCAGAATGAGTCGGATAATTAGGTGGGAGACAATATTTCACTGCGAAGTCGATCTTGACAAAATACGCCTGTAAGAGAGAGCGAAGCCAGCTTTGACTCGACGGCGGTCAAGCTGGTTGTCAACGTTGAGATCTATGTTTCACTGCGAAGTCAATCTTGACATCTGCCATACAAAATTTAATACAAATACGCCTGTGAGGGAGAGCGAAGCCAACCTTGGCGTCGACAGCGGCCAAGCTGGTTGTCAACGTTGAGATCTATGCTACAATAAGAAGGCGATGACGGAATATATGTAGGCATGGGCTTCTTCATTACATCTCAGCATCGCTAACAAAATATGTATGCTACTGTGAAGCTGGGCTAAGCACTTTCCGACGTACTAGCGTCTCAACGATACCCCAAGACGAGGAAACATCACCTCGGTTTGATACGTCCAGACAGCAAGCCACTCGAGCACAGCGGCTTCTTGGACTCGAGCTTTATACTCGAGCTCTTTGAAAAAACCCTCCTTGGTATGCTCCCGGATAGCATTCTCGTCGTACGATTCATCTGCCTCCATGGCGATATGGTGTTCAACATGGGAATCGAGAAAAGCGTCTAAGCGTTCAATATCCCACTCGCACAGGCGCTGTCGACGCTTTATCATAATCTACACAGAGGTCAATGGCACGTTAGCGTTGGGAGTATACCTGGCACCACAGAACGCGTGAAATATCTTCGAGGCTTTCAGGGACGCTTGCAACCACGCGTAGATGTGACTCGAGTCTTCGTCATTCTGAAACTGCGCATACATCTCGTAGAGCGGAAGGGCGGCTAGAAATGCGTCTACATGGTTGGTAGACCTGAATCTAGGCTCGTAAACCTGTTGCATAATAACATTTGTTAGACTACGCCACAGAACTCAAGTAATTCGCATACCCACCCGGTCGCGTGAAGGTTTGCGTACTGGCTGGAGGGTGTGAAAGTCAAGGAACCCCTGGTGCCATTGAAATCTCTCCAACATCTAGGCATACATCGGAATTGAGCCATCGTGACGCCCACTGAAACACCAAAGATACGTGCACGTACCTCCCCTACAGACATCGGCTTGCCATAAATTTTCTTGTTGTTTGACGCTGTTCGGTTGACATCTGGCGTGAAAGCCTGTTGTATGCAAGCAGGACGGTTAGATATCAAATAGCCACCACAAGTAGGACACCGGGACAGCCTCGTAGGTGTAGTCAGGGTCCGAGAGAACAAAGTAGGAGGAGCGGTCTAAGTCGGTATCTTGATCGCTGAGCTGCCCTTGGCTCTCGGAGCACCCTCGCGCTGTGAGCTCCTGTTGGTTCGAGCGTTCGTCATCATCGCTGCTGCTGCCGCCCACAGTGCTGCTGCTGTCGGCCGCCGTGTCGTCGGTGTACATACTTGCGTCGGTCATGATCTTCTCGGAGAAGATCTCCCCCCACACGATGTGTACTGTACCACTGAGGAGCGACCGCGACTTTTGACAGGTGAATTTTGACTGTCGCTCAATTCTATGGAATGCCTATATTTTATTTTATACTAGATCCTTACACTAAAACACATACTCACTGCATCCGCCTGCAAAGGCTGCTGTTGCAGTGAGAGCCTGTTGTGGCAGCACCATTGGGTATTATTGCCCTCATCGCTGACGTCACCGCCTTAGCCACCACCATTTTGGTCCTTGGCGATCCGCCTGCTTTTAGGCGCGCTCCGCACTCTGATTCGAGATCACACGATGGACTGCTTGATCGTCCGGCCTCGTCCTGCAGCGTCTTGTGATGGTTGATGCCATCGTTTAGCTTGAACACGCGCTTCTTCTCCTTCATTTAGGGCGCCTCACGCGAACGTTTGTCCGTGTGGGCTGACGTATGACCGCAGCCCAACAGAGCGGCTCTGAGAGCCGCCCCAGTTGTATCGATAGGCCTTGGGCGACAGCGCGTAGTATTTGCCTGGGTGCTGATGGGCTCGTAGTCGAAGTCCCCCTGCTGCGACGTTGGGCCTGGTGCTGGGCCTGCATGCTGTTCGGGTTCACGTGCTGCTGGAGTTCATGCACGCCGGGCCATTGAAGCCGCCGCTATTGGTGCCGTGGTCCAGGGATTTGTAGTAGAGCTTGGGAAGTTCGCCGCTGCGCTGGTGGTGCGGCGAGTGCGCCTGGTACTGCGAGTAGCCGTAGCCCTGCATGGCGAAGAGGAAGGAGGAAGTCAGGCGGGTGTACTGCCGATGGAATGGGGGGGCTTGTGCCGCCAGCGCTCGCCTCGCCTGCAGTCGAGAAACACGTCAGCAATGGGGCAACAGGCTGGCTAGAGTGAGCAGCGTACCGAGATTGAGTTGTTCTGCTTTCGGTTGTGCCTCGTACGTCTCATCGTTGCAGTAGAAGGCGCCCCTCATGTGCCGTGCCGTGCTTGCCCTGGGATAGTGTCACAGCGATTGCCGAGCACGTCCATCAACCGCGATATTCAGCTCAGAACAATTCACTCACTTAGCGAATGTTCGCATTATCCTGCGAATTACGCCAAGGTTTTTTCGATCGAAATCTCGACAGAGCTTAATATTACGGCCGTATCCAAGCTTTGATTGGGTAACTCTGACCAATGAGATTGACAGCCGGTGGAACCCGAAGAGTCGGGGCAGGCCGCTGGGGACCTCGCTTACCCTATCCCGCCAGTATACAAATTTCTATATTAATCTTATCCCTGCAAAATCGGGATAAGAGCGGTCGCCGGTGGGTTAATGCTCTGCTCACTGATGTCGTGTAGAATAATCGACTTTGAACCGAAATCACCACCAACGACACGCTTGCGCGCCTGTTCATATTCCCAAACGTGGTCGTTACGGTTCACCAAGCATTCTGTAGAAGCCCTGGACACACACAACATTGCACGCATGACGATAGCGAACATTGCTGCATACATTGCGAATGAGCCACTGTTGAACGAGGACAAGCGACGGATGGTTTGTCCTTCCTCGCTTTGATAGGTCCCGTGTACGACCCTCACACTACCGCAAGACAACGGCAACATCGCGTCAATCTTCCGAGTTGTTGCAAGCGGCAGTGTGGTAAGCACCAAAGCTAACATCTACGCCGTGAAGTGGGCCATGATTTGGCTAGGGCGGGTGCTTCGTCGTGTAGCTAGCGCCGACCTCCCTGCCCCATCCATTACATGTCGTCAACCAGCCGTCATTGATTGCAAACCTCTGCACCTAGGTAGCGGGTTAGCCGCGGTGGCATCAGCACGAGGCAGTACTTACAGTGGTCAACCAGACAGCTACTGGCCACCACCTCGTGACGGATAGAGCTGGCTGGGAGGAAGCGTTACCGGCACCGACGGTCGGGTAGCTTTGCCGGCTGCTCCCCGCAACTAGCCCGGTTACATGTAACGGACGCAGGTGTCCTTCACCCGTAGGTACACGTGGACCCTTTGTCCCTCGGTCGAGGCGCTCCGCCACAACCCCCGTGGTCTCTCTCCACGGTCCCGTCGCTCTACTTGTCCACTGCCCTCATCATGTGCGAGCTCTACCTCAGCTTACCTCGCCCTTACTGCTCGACTCCTCGCCGACGCCCTCCGCCGCAGTACGAAGGTCAGCAACCCGTGCTTCCGGCGCAGATCAATGTATTAGTCTCAACTCGCTGCACGTCCTGCAACAAATCTTGACTGAGGGTCGAGTCGGCACGGCCGCCGCTCGCCACCCTCCTATCTACCGTAGTCCCTCCGTCGCCTATACTAACTCTAACTACAGCGCCCTTCCTATCCTACTTGGACCCTCCCCCTTCTTGACACTTCTTGTCCTCACGTTCGCTCCGCTGGCGTCGCCTCGCCTCCTGGCATGGTTCCAACTTGACTCGCCCACGTCGTCCCTCCTGGCGATCTTCGGCAGTCACACTGCTTCAACTTCAATCGCCCACTTCCAGCGTTGGGTGGTGGCTCCAGCCCGCTGACTCGCCCTTGCCACCGGCCGCATTTAGCCGTACATCGTCGTCACCGACACCGTCATGGTGTGCCACATCACGTCCGTCGTCAACTCCGACGCCACCTGCACGTCCAGCAGCTTGAACGCGCGGTTGTTGGCCGTGTGACGGGCCACACAACTACAGTCGCAACATACTTTGCCTGTCTTATGGTAATTCGCAGTAGGAAGTGCCATGCATCAGCAAGATACGCTCAGCTAGTTGAATGGAGGAGACTACATACGCGTACACAGGGGCACAATCGTATTGCAGCCAAAATCAACAAAGGTGCCGGTATCTGGGGCTATTATACTATTATGTACGAAAAATGTACAGCCCATGTTTTCGGATTGGAGGGGGTGAAATGGCCCGCAAATCTATCGTGATGCAGAGACTAAATCGGCACCAGTGGCGTTTGAGAAGCATGAACAACCCGCAAACGTAGCCCCGAAGTCCCGAAGCAAGGCTTGGGTCTACAGTTCCCTGCCTAGCGCTGGGCCGGCCTTCTAAAGGTTTTAAGGACAGGTAGAGCCACATTTAGCAGCTCGATTACCCAGTTCCCAGGGATTTGCAATAGATTTGGGTGCCATGACACCCGTCCTGAAAACCGAAACATGGATGTCCATGATTTCAGCATGTTTTACATGTTTTGAGATCTTACTTGGTTTTAGTATGCCTTTATCCCTAACCCTATTCCGAAACATGGGCTGTAGGGCCAGCCTATTATGTAGTACTCCGCCCGTGTGTTGACAGGGACCCCCCCCCCCCCCACACACACACACACAAAATGCATGTCGAATTTTACCCTCAAATATTCAGTTATGTATAGTTGGTGTGGTACGTTGGGACTTGCCCGCTGCCTGTCATCCTCAAACGAGAATCGCCGCCGCCTCCAGACCGCCGTCAAGATGTTTATGCTCAAGAAGAAGAAGCCGCAGGTGGACACCTCCAAGCAGATGAAGGCCGTGGCTTGGGACCTGTCCAAGATCGCGCTGGTCTTCGTGGGCATCCGTGCCGCGTCCGTCTTCCTGAACCAGGAGAACTAGACGGCCCCAAGGCGCGACGAGAGCTGCTAACCTGGGTGCCTCTTTATTCCTGCGGGGCTATAGTGAACAAGCAAGAAGCGAAGGCAGCAAGGGTGCAGGAGGCGACTTGAATAGACGAAGACATCGCAAGAGCATTTCAAAAAGGAGGCTTCCAGCACGTTCCGACGGATTGGTACTGTGTCAATAGGCAGAATGAAGATGAGAGACCCGAGTGAGTAGTGGTATGCATGCATATATTCAGTTGTCGAGGCGCCCAGCCAAGCAGTCTTCTATCGTCAGTCTACTCTTCCTGCTCCTCGTCCTCCTCTTCTTCCTCAGCCATTTCCTCGTCCTCGTCGGTCTGCGTGAACGACTCTAATGCGATGTTGCACTTCTCGGCGAGCACGTTGAGTGCCTCCAGTAGAAGCTCCTCAGGCTTGAGCATGCCGACTGACTCGACACTGAAGATGAAGTGGTCGCTCTGGCGTCCAAGACTAATTTTCTCGTTCCAACCAGGCTCGCGAATGCAGTTACGGCACATGGTGCATGCACGTTGGTCTTTCACGACAGCCGTGGGGACGCCGCCAATGTCTTCAATGTCGAACAGCCCGATCTGACACTCCTCCACGAGCTTCTTAGCATCGGCACCCTGCACCTTTTCCGTCAGCTCCACCTTGGGCATCAAGCGGTACGACGCGGTAGCCACAGGGGAGAATTTGGCGTGGTCCTTGCCAACACCCTTACGGCAGTGAGCCTCCAATGCAATGCTTTGGCCCGGACGCAGCTTGGCGATCAAAATGTCCTCGTGCACAGGGCGAATGGATCCGAAACGCTCCTCCTGGTTGCCCTGGGGCACCCACTCAAGGTCACGCGAGTAAACTGCGCATTACAAGAACAAAAAACGTGTATCAAAGTCAGCGAGATCAATATCAGCAGCAAAAGCTAGAGTCAGAGCCGTACCGGAAGAGTGAATCGCCTTGGTTGGGTCCTTCGGGTGCTCGGGGTCAAACTTGCAGGTGACATCGAGCTTAAAGACGATAGTGTTCTCGTCGGTGGCCTCCGCTTCCTCGTTGTCGGGGAAGGCCTGGAACTCGCGCGGGTCCACATTCAGCGGAACCAGTCCCAGTCGGTGAGCGAGCACTTCGTCCTGGATGATGGACGAGTTGTTCCAGATGTACACGTGCTCGATGGCCATTGTCGGCACTTCAGCCAGCAAGATGCGGCGGAGAGCGTTGGCGATAGCGGCGTCCACGCCGATAAGGTCGAACACAATCTCTTCGTCCGTCAAGCTCTGGATCTTGACCTTTACCTGGCGCTTCGACTGCTCCACGAAGCTGTAGCTGCTCTCACTCTCCACATCAGGCTGTCCGGCGGCGGCAGCAGTTCACACGGTCAGAGTCGCTAGCTACATGGACAGAAACAATCGCGCACATGCTGCTCACCTGGTGCGGCGCGTCCTGGCCGACGCGGATAACCTTGGAAGACTTGGCCATGCTGTTTCTGTGTATGAGTCTCCTCTATCCGTGGCGGCGACTATTATCCAGCGACGGACCAATTGACGCGGGAGCGAACAGACACAAGCCGAAGCGAGGCCACCAGCCATTCGACCCAGTTCTCTTGAAACTACTGGTCGTATTTAAACGAAAACAGCCAATCAAAGATTTTTATTTAACGGGTAAGGGGCTAAAACCCTAATGTTGGCCTCACCACAGGAACGTCAATCCATGCTGGTGGTGCTGCCATGGGCTATGCAAAACCTGCGTTCGTACGTTTCTGTGTATTTTTTTCAAGTTTTCTTCAAAGTCCTGCCGCAACCTCTTCCTGTCTGAATAGACCCACACGCCACTCCCTCCCTTTATTTACTGTCTCGACGGTCGGCCACTCCATCCATTGCGTGCGCTGCCTGTCTGTCTCCGTCCGCTCTCGCTCACTCGCTCGAAGAGGAAAGTGAGAGAGGCTGCTCGAAGGCTGGATGAGCAACAAATCAAAGCATCTAAAAGTCCTTGACCTGCCACTTGCCTCTCTTGCATCAACTCCTCGTACGCACGTGGTCAGAGCCTCCAGCCTTACTTGGTGTAGGTGATTTTACGGGTCTTGAGCGGCGCCCATTTCAGACGCTTGTAGTAGCCCGTCAGTGCGCACAGCGCCAGCAGGGCGATGGTCGTCTGCATGCCCTGCTTCTTCCGCACGTCGTGCTCCGGCTCGGCGGCCCACGCGAGGAAGACCGACACATCCTTGGCCATCTGCGAGGTCGTGCACGGCGTGCCGTCCTCGTACTCGATCTGGCCGTCCTGCAGCTGGCGCTCCATAGCAATAGCGCCACCACCGAAGTAAGGGTTGTAGTACAGGCCGGGCAGCAGCTCCGTGCCCTCAGGCGGGTCAACGTAGCCCGTCAGCAACGCGAACAGGTAGTCGGCACCGGCGTGACGAGCCTTGACCATCAGCGAAAGATCAGGCGGGATGGCGCCGTTGTTGGCAGCGGCAGCAGCCTCGTCGTTCGGGTACGGGCGAGGGAGCGGGTCCGACAGCTTGCCGGGGCGCTCGAACATCTCGCCTTCGTCGTTGGGGCCGTCAACAACGTCGATGTCAGCAGCCATCTCCTTGAGCTCGGCCTCCGTGTGGGTCACGCCCACCAGGTTGCGGAAGCAGATGCGGTCCAGGCTGTGGCAGGACGCGCACACCTCGCGGTACACCTGGTAGCCACGACGCACGCTGGCGTAGTCGAACGAAGACAGCGGGCCCTGGTGGTCGAAGCCGTAGTGCAGGGCCTCGATCTGGTCGCTGCTGAAGGCCGTGACGCCAGTCAGCACCGATCCACCCAAGAGAGCGCCAGCGCCAACCTGCAGCGCCCGCAGCAAAACGAAAATACCGCAAAGACAAGTTAGAATTTTAGCTGTCGTTTTGGTGGTCCAGTCTCGAGGACGAAGCTTTGCTGCGCCCCAGCAACAAGTCGTGCGATGCACGAGGGAAGCGGCAGCGGGTTAGCGAGCTCTAGACCAAGTTACGAACCTTAGCAGCGCGCTGCAGCAGCTTGGCACGGTTCATCATCGTCTCAGCAAACTATAAGTCGCCCGGGAGCTTCCGTGTCTGTGTGCGTGTGAGGCTGCGGCGAGTCGAGTCGAGCCCCCTCTCGGTCCCAGCCGTACATCGTGCGGCCAAGCCGCGTCTGAAAAAACCTCGGCTGAAAAACCTCGGACATTTTAATAGGTGGCACGTCGCCCTTCCTAGAACGCCGTGTACTCACCCAGTACTTTCACGAGGTCATCTCGCCTAAGTGGACCACACCGTTTTGGTGGTCTGTGCACTTAGGATAACAGGACTACGGTGCCGCTGTGCGGCTTCTTTGGGATCACCCACAAGTTGCAACGTAACCGCCAATCAGTTGCAACTTGACAATCGCTCCTCTTTCCCCGCGTGGCAAAATGGTAAGATGCGGCGTCGGAGAAGGCCTCGGTCAGCGCGACCGAGGGCGATGGAGATGGCGTAACTGGACACTGACTTCTCTTCTCGCGTTGTAGTCGGCGCTTTTCAGCCTCCAGGGTCTGCTCACCGTCATTCTGCTCTTCATCTGCACGTGCACATACATCAAGATGAAGTTCCCCACGCTCTTCGACCGCGGCCAGCTCCCAGGCAAACACGAAGGGCTGGGTGGCCTGTGCTGGAAGGCCTCCCGCATCGGGGAGCGCAAGAGCCAATACGTGGCTGGCGCACTCGTCGTCATGGCAGTTCACACGCTCTTCTTCTCTTAAGTCGCGTATGGCGGAAAGATCGAGTCCTGCTTCCGGCTAGCAGGCCTGCCACGATATGTTCCAATAGCCCAGCAGGATGCAAACGACAGCTTTCTTGTGTTTCTTCTCTGAAGTGTTCTACGCCAGAGGAAACCATGCCAATACCAAGATGAGCAGGTGCCTCTGCGGGCCATGTGACGACAAGCAGGAACGAACGAGAGGTAGTAATAAGTTTGCAGTACAACTTGTATCAAAGCTCACGAGTGTGCTGCAAGAAGGTCTTGTTGATTTCGATAGCTAAATTCACGCCTACGTGCCTCCAGTACTCTGCATATTCTAAAAACGCCCGAGGCAGGTTACATTCCTCAGATCTTCGGGCTTCTCTTGGCACCGCCAAGTTACAGTCCTACCATAACTGAGTTAAGATCAGAGATTGAAGCAACCAGTCATCGAGGTCTTTAGACACCACCCGAGAAGCGCATCTAGTTCTTCTTGGGGGCGGCACCACCGCTCGTGCCCATGCCCATGACCGTCTTGAACGTGTCGTAGATCCACCACTGAGCACCCGTGAGCGTACCGATCATAATGATACGCGTGCCAAGGCCCTTGGTGGCCAGGTTGACCAGACCGGTCTCGCTGGCGATCTGGCCGAAGCCCTTGCCCTTGTTCTCAGCCTTGCCCATGAGCGACACCACGGAGTCGGCAGGGTGCGACACGATAGCGCAGATGACACCAGCCAGGTAACCCGAAGCGAACGTGACACCGAGCTGCGTGCTCTTGGGGTACGAGCTCTTGGGCTCCGTGAACACGTACGTGTAGAAGGCCTCCACCACCTTCTCGAAGAAGAAGAACTTGGCCATCGTGTACGGGATCTGGCGCGACCACAGGGGCACGAGCGAACCGAACGGGAAGCGGGTCTCCGCCGAGTTGGCCTTCATGGCGCCCACAGCGGCACCGAACTCCACCGGGAACGTGCCGGCAGGCGAGGTCTGCACCTTCACCTTGACCATCTCCATGGGGCAGAGGGCCATGTCGGCGAAGAATTCGGCCGAGGCCGAACCGGCCAGGTAGATGGCGCCACGGTACTTGTAGGCGTTCTCCTCACCAGCCATGGTGCTGTACGTGTCCTTGAAGAACTCGTAGAAGCCGAACTTGCACATGCCCTGGGCCGAGTAACCGATGGCAGTCGGAGCCCAGCCCTTGAACAGAGCGCCAGCGCCCTCCTCCGCGGCGATGGTCTTGATGCCGGGAAGCAGGCCGCCGTACTTGGCGGGGTTCACCTGCATGTTGCACTTGACCACATCCAGAGGGGTGATGCCCGTGTGCGTGAGGCCGCACGAGAGGATGCCGCCGATCATGCACTTGCCGTAGTAGGCATTGTCGTGGATGGGGTCGTGCGAGAGGCGCGCGTCCCACTTGGCGGCCGAGGTGGCCAGGACCGAGGCCGGGCGGGCCTTGGGGGCGGCGACCGACGGCACGGCCGGGTTCAGCGACGAGATCACGGGGAAGAAGGCGCTCATGGTGAGGAGGCGGCTGCGAGGTCGACGGGTGGATGGCGAATGACGGGAGCAAACCGCGCAGGGCACGCACGATCTGCGGCTGGGAGCCGGGGAGTTTCAAACAAGTTTTTTTCAGCGGTTACACGGAACTACGTTGCGCGTCCAAGATGGGTCGCGCACCGTACAGAATCAGTATGTTGCGTTTGTATGTTGCTGTAGATTGTTGATAGATTGTTGATAGATTGTTGACACCGGTGCAAGTGTCCTTCGAAGTGTCCCTCTCCATCCCTAGCAAGACCGAGCTCTAGTTCTTCTTGGGGGCGGCGCCACCGCTCGTGCCCATGCCCATGACCGTCTTGAACGTGTCGTAGATCCACCACTGAGCACCCGTGAGCGTACCGATCATAATGATACGCGTGCTAAGGCCCTTGGTGGCCAGGTTCCACATGCCAGTCTCGCTAACGATCTGGCCGAAGCCCTTGCCCTTGTTCTCAGCCTTGCCCATGAGCGACACCACGGAGTCGGCAGGGTGCGACACGATGGCGCAGATAATACCAGCCAGGTAACCCGAAGCGAACGTGATGCCGAGCTGCGTGCTCTTGGGGTACGAGCTCTTGGGTTCTGTGAACACGTGCGTGTAGAAGGCTTCAACCACCTTCTCGAAGAAGAAGAACTTGGCCATCGTGTACGGGATCTGGCGCGACCACAGAGGTACCAGAGATCCGAATGGGAAGCGGGTCTCCGGGTTCGCCTTCATGGCAGCCATGGCCGGGGACAGCTTGACAGGGAATGTGCCGGCAGGTGAGGTTTGCACCTTCACCTTGACCATCTCCATGGGACACAGCAAAATATCAGCGAAGAACTCGGCTGAGGCCGAACCGGCCAGGTAGATGGCGCCACGGTACTTGTAGGCGTTCTCTTCGCCGGCCATCGTCGAGTACATGTCCTTGAACACGTCATAGAAGCCAAACTTGCACATACCCTGCATCGAGTAACCGAAAGCAGTCGGAGCCCAGCCCTTGTACAAGGCACCAACGCCTTCCTCCGAGGCGATAGTCTTCATACCAGACAGCAAGCTCTTGTACTTTGCGGGGTTCACCTGCATGTTGCACTTGACCACATCCAGAGGAGTGATGCCCGTGTGCGTGATGCCACACGACAAGATGCCACCGATCATGCACTTGCCGTAGAACGCATTGTCGTGGACGGGATCATGCGAGAGGCGAGCGTCCCACTTGACTGCCGAAGTAACGAGGGCGGAAGGACGCGCGGCGGGGGTGGCAGGCGATAGCGGCATGGCCGCCGGCTTCAGAGTCGAGATCTGGGGGAAGAAGGCGCTCATTCGAGGCGGAGAGCTTGAGTTCCTGCGGCGTCCACAGACAAAAGACGAATGACCTGGAAACGCGCGTATTTTGCCGCGCTCCGGCGAGCAGTAGCTGCAGTAGATGCACCGGGGCGGACACCCATGCCTGTTGCACTTTATCCAACAAAACCCTTTCACACGTCACAGACGCGCCTTTCTCAGCGGATACAGTTGCAGCGAAAGGATTGCGCGCCACCGTGGCGGCCAGTGGCCGCCGGCCACGGCTCCCAAGCAGAGATCAGGGTGCTTGCCAAGACCTCCCATCTTCAAAGATTGATAAGTGCATGTGTACATGTAGCAACCGTTGCTGCAGGCTACAGCGACAACAGCGCTGCAGCCTGCAGCGCTGTTGTCAATGGATATCTTTGGTACTAAATTGGCGCGGTCGCGCAACCGCGTGGTCGACTTTTGTTGCTCCGTACATGACGCACCACAATGAACGATGGAGAGTGCTGCACTGTGTAAGCTCAATGCGTGTATCTGGATGGAAGCGTGGCCACGGTTGCGTCGGAGTTGTTGGTGATCTGGAAGTCCCAGACTGGGACTACATGTACATAACCCTTAGCGTTGTTTAAAACAAAGATGATTTTTATAACCACCGCCGACTGGGGCGCGCTTCGCGTGCGGGTCTCTAAGCGGAGGCAAACGCACCCAACAGTTTTGCGTTTTTTGCCACTATAACGCTGTACTACAGCTACTACAACTACTATTTCACTACTGTTAATGATGTCATAGTAATGTTGTCATTGATATTGCTTGTTCGTATCTGCTGCTATCGCTACTGCGACTGTTTATTATCTGCTGCCACTACCGCTACCGTTTTTATTTACGCTACAACTACGGTCTCAGCATTGATAATGGCACTGTAATGATATTGCTCCTGCTTTCTTTTTCATGCCTGAGAAAGACTGCCAAAATCTACTCCATACTGCTTGACTTGCTGCATAATATCACGGGGCATTTCATGGCTTGCTCAAACTAAATTTATAAGTAGATGTCATCTGAGTATCGCCGCCCACCGTGGTGAAAACGACGCGATCCAAACATTATCGATGATCTTATCGTCCTCTAGACCCTTGTAAATCACTCTCCTCTTTTCCAAATAATGTGTGTGACTTGTATTGCTGCGTAAGTAGTATCAATATGACGTATTGTGTCTTTCACGTATTTTGGCGGGTGAGCTGTTAATTCAGGCGGAATTAGAGTCATAAAAGGGTGATCAATGCTTATTTAGTGCTAATTCTGCCTAAGATTGTGGGCGCTTCTCCTAACATCCGCGATCAGCATTTGAGAGCTAATCGACGGAGATACGAGCAGAATGGCATGGATTGGCGGATAGGAAACCGCCAATCGCTCTGTTTCCGCCTAACGAAGGCTGGATTAGCTTATCCCGCCTTGAGTCGGCCTCACCATCGCCGTTCCTAATTCGGCCACGGAGGGACGACCCGGAATTAACATGGGAATTAGCTAACTCGGGGCATAATTAAGGTCGATAACGGATTAGAGTTATGCCAGAATTATCACGGCAGAATAAGTGAAAGGCACAATAATTCTTATTCGGTATATTGCTATTGAAATTGTTCGCCTGCGTCACGATCACTGCCAGCTACCACTGCAACTGCCCTACTGTCAATGCCACCGCTACTGCAACCGCTATTAGTTACTGACTTTGAAACTGATATTGTTATCGCTATTTCTGTTACTATCTTTTTTTGCTCGCCCCACGATCAGGAAGAAAAACTGTCAAGGTCTACAGTACTCCATGGTGCGTGAGTTGTTGCAACCCAGTATAATGTCATCCAACGAGACTTCTTCGCGAGTTTGGCCTGTAACTGTACGACTTATCGAGCACGACTTATCTATAAATTGTACTCAGGTATGAATTGCTGTAAGTCGTGGATGGTTAATCAGCACTAAGTAGTGCGGAAACACCATCTCCTGCATGATCTAGCACATCCAGTACGGATTAGCATCCTTTTGGCACTCCTAGAAAGTGTCATTTCGGAGCTAAACCAGCTTGAAACACGACTTGAGCAACTTGCATTCAAAGCCTCTATGATTTACCACTAAATACGAACACTAACTAGTGCACTAAATACTGGATGCAAAGCACGATAATACAAGGTGATTCATTATTACTCCGGATTTGTTACCGTAGCATCACTATTTCAATTGCTGTTGCTGAATGGTAGGCGCGGAGAAAACAACCTACTGCATGTGGGCGATAACTTTCCGCTGCGGACCAACACCAGCTTTACCGATACAACTGCATGTTGCTAGACCTGTCGGCGCTCAAACTGAGCCCGATGCACTGGTACATGAGCGATGAGAGTCGGTAACTTTCTCCAGCTTGCTCAGGAGTCATCGTGGTTTCGGTCGGAAAGCTGACAGCATGCTTGAGGCCGTGCCTTTTGAGCTGGCAATTAGGGCAGAATAACCCCAACATGACATGCGCCACGCCAGCGAACATCAGCGGACCACCAGGTCTCCATCGCGTCCATGATAAACGTGGACATCTCGACTCGCCACGTTCTGCTCGCACTGAATCTACCCGTCCGCTGGTTGCTTGGCAGGTTGTGGACGTCGTCCCCGAACGCGCTGGCGGCTAAAATGTCACACAAGCCGATGCGAAGACCCGAAGCTTGATGAGCGAAGTGGCGAGCGCTCGAAGAACATTTGAGAGGAAGTTGGAAAGTTGAAAAGTGATTGATTGATCCGTTAGTTTAGCGTCGGCGCGCCGCCGCCGCGCAACCAGTAGTTCTTGGCGACCAGGACACGCAAACAAGTATCCAGGTCCCATCCTAAAGTCTATCAATCTCAAATCCTAGATCAATCCTTTTCTACCAATGAAAAAATACTAATCCTATTCGTAGCTTGGCCAAAATTTGTGACTTGCGTCCCATAATCAAAAGTCCGGCTGGAAAACTTGATTGTTGCACATCTCGAGGATTTACAGCCAATGAGGTCGCGCGAATGTCCATGTTTACGCGTCTCATAATCAAGTTTACTTTTGACACCAGCCAATAGGATATCATATAATGAATATAAACCATGCATCCCCGTATTACGCTGTCCAGCGCAAACTGAAGTGCTGTGCAGCAGCACTTGACGTGGGAGTCCTCTGCCATCTCATTGGCAGACGGACGTCCACGTCACATGACCTCCCTTCCAAGAAGGCCCCACTACTTTGAAGCTGCACTTTACTTCTTCTTGGAGTCCCAGTACTTGTCAATGAGCCCTGGAATCTGATTCAGGTTCTCTACGGGTTCCCATGTAGCGTCTTCTCGGGGTTCACCAAGCCACCAAATCCGATATTGGAGCGTCTTCTTCCTGCGACGGTGGCCGATGACTTCACGTACAAGTTGTCCCTCTGAGCCATCATTCAAGATCACCTTGTTAACATTTTGGCTGCGTGATTTGTCGCTGCGATACGGCTTGAGCAACGAAGTGTGGAAAACGGGATGCAACTTGAGCCCCTTCGACAACTTCAGCTCGTAGGAGTCATGATGAACTTGCTTCACGACCGGGTAAGGACCAATAAACCTTGGCGCAAGTTTCTTCGCCTGTGCAAACCCCTTGTGACGAATGTCCAAGTTCCGTCCATCCAAAAGTACCATATTCCCGGGTTTGAAGTCTTGAGCAAGTCTGTTCTTGTCATGATACGACTTCATTCGAGTTTGCGCCTCACTCATCGCGTCTTGTGCCATTTTCAAAATTGCGTCTTGCTTGAGCAGGAAATCTTGTGCTGACTTCTGCAACTGCTCAAACTCTTGGTCCCCAGCCACCTCATCTGGCATATAGGGCACATAACCCAGATCAGCCTCAAACGGTGACATACCGATCGAGGAATGGACACGTCTGTTGTACGCGAATTCGGCGAGATGTAGGTATTCATCCCAATCATTCTGGAATGGGTTCACGACACCTCGTAGATAGTCTTCAATAAACCGATTAGTACGCTCGGTCTGACCATCCGTTTGCGGGCGGAAGGCGGACGACAAGTTATGAGTCGTCTCTAATGTCTTAATCACCTCCTGCCAGAACTTTGATGTCACGGTCTGAGACGATCGACTTCGGCACTCCATGGTCTTTCACATAATTGGCCATGAATAGCGCAGCAGTCTCTTCTGCTGTCGCCGCCGTGTTCGTGGCAATGAACTTAGCACGTTTCGTCAACCGGTCCACAATAACCATAATGGCGTCTTTTCCGGCTGCCGTCTTCGGTAGTGCAACCATGAAGTCCATCGTCACATCAATCCATCTGCCTCCTGGAATCTCCAACGGTTGAAGTAGTCCCGGCGGCTTCGTTTGGCGTGCCTTGTTTCGCTGACAAAGCTCGCACGTGTTCACATAACGCTGAATGTACTTCGACATCTTGGGCCAGTAATATTTCTTCTGGATGCCTAAGTATGTCTTGAAGTATCCGGGGTGACCTGCCGTGACCACATCGTGGTTTTCACAAATAACACGGTTCTTCAGATCTTCATTGTCCGGAATTACCAGTCGTGCATTTTCATCATCTCTCGTTTGGTAATACAGCAGTCCATTCTTCACAGAGTAGCGTGGTACCTCTTTACCACTAGCGATACTCTGCAACAGCTCCTGAACTCTTCGATCTGTAGGGTACAGTTGTTTGGCCGAGTGCGTCACAGTTGCACTGGTCGTTTGGACGCTAGCTACAATTTCACGGTTTCGAGCCGCTTCAATGAGCTCAATGAGACTAACCTGAGCGGCTTTGTGCTCAAAGAGTGGGTTTCGAGACACTGCATTGGTTACTGTCGCCTGGAATCCATTTGAACTGTGGTTGGTCGGCTAGTTCATTAAACCAGCGAGCCACACGACGGTTTGTTGTCTTCTGCGTCAATATAGTCTCAATACTCTTGTGGTCTGTCTCCACCGTAAATGGCCGATCGAGCAGGTAGACTCTCCACACCCGAAGCGCATGCATAATAGCCGGCAATTCCTGTTCGCGCACTGGGTAG